ATCAGAAATATCACACAATTTTCACTGTTTGCTTATAAATATAGATTGGGGGATTCAAATACAGGAACTGAGGATGTGAATGAAAGTTATTTAGCCTCCAATAAGGTTGCAAGTATAGTAGATTTTGATCATTTCTACTTGTTAACTCCTTACTGGTGTAAGCAGGGCTAAGTACTACATGTTTATAATGCATTATATTTTCCTCTCTCCCCTCCAGCACAGAAAAATGTTAACGATTTATATATGATTTTCAGGTTATGAGCCTGTTTTACACAAATTTTCTAACAATAGATGAAATGTAACTGTTTCTAATAAGGAATGCAGGGAAGAGATGTTGCTAGGAGCCAGCATGGACCAGCAGAACTGATACTAGGTATTTTTCCTGTTCCCTCAATGGCCCTCTTTCGCACTCCATCCGACATAGTTTAAGTGCAAAAGAAATAAGAGGCTGAGGGATGAAAGAAGATGAAAGAGGGTGACAGAGAGCTTGCTAAGAGCTGGAGAGAGGAGGAAGACTGACTGGAAGTTGGGTAGAAGCCAGCTGAGCAAGAGATTGGCTAAGAGTGCAGCCTGGACTGCTTGGACAGAAGCTGAAATATGATTTACACAATGATGGTGGGAGAGTTAAGTACTATGAATAACACTAATGGAAATGGCGAGAGACATCTGATGAGAAACTGAGGTTCAGAACTGAGACTGGTTGGCTGAGTCTAGGCCAAGAAATTAAGCCTGGGGAAACTATGAGGAATCCAACCAGGGAAACTGGAAGAAAAGGGAGAGACACTGCTTGTCATCCAGGATGTTGAGAAGACAGGCACTTTCAATGGTGTTACTGAGGGAAACTGAAAAGGCAAGAAAGAGTGAAAGAAGAGCAATGGAAATACAAGACGTTTCATCTACTTGAAGGAAACAACTGTTTAGAGCTTTACTTGATATTTTTCCTGCCACCGTTTGTTCCTTTTTGTGTATAGCTATTTTGGGAGAAGGGGATTTCTATTTCTATGTAGGTTCCTAAACCATGTTTATCACTATAGTAACTGTTGTAAATAGAAGCAGCACTGTTTGCCCTTGGTTGCTGCATGTATGGTTCTTTCTTTGTAGGATTGATGTTTTAAAACAAAATTAGACTATGCTGGAACTGCTATGTCCCAGATGCTTTGTACATGTGTAAACAGAACATTAACTTTGAAATTACGGTTATACTAAGCACAGCCAAACAGAAAATTAGCCACTGTATCTGAGCTCAGAATCTGCCTTAAAGTAGTCCTCTGCTGTACTCACCTGCACTCAAACTCCAGTCATCAACACGAAGCTTTAAACCTTCAGACACAGTGCTGGAAAGAGGGGTCATATATCACTACTGTTTAAAGAATCAGCATGTTTTTTCTACTGTTTTATTGAAGAGCCACACTGGAAACAGCTGTAGGAACTCAAAGCTCCTGCTGACTGAAGATCTTAAAGAGCGTTACAAGGTAGTACTGCACAAAAAGCCACGGCAGGTAGCAGAAGCAAAGAAACACCACTGAGTTGTTTGGAAATGTACTGTTGTGAAAAGCAAAACTGTCTGACCTGTGAATTCTGGAGAAGCAAAAGCTCTTTGGCTTTACACTGACAAGATACCTTGCACAAAGGTGCTGCTTCTTACTCCTAATTCTCACATCTTTAGGAGTTAGGATGATGTATTTCACCAAAACTTTGCTTGTGTAAGAGCAGTGACTGAGTTCCTAAATACCACTGGTGCAGAGGCCCTCTTTTCTCACAGAAGCAGGATCTCATTTCAGAGGCAGTTTTTTTCTAACTTCAATCCATTTGACAATCAAAGGGAACTGAGATCTAAATATTACTCTCTACATGAGAAACTTAGCTTCTATTTTCTATTTAGTTCTCAATTCAGTGAATGCAGGAGCCTGTGCCTGACACTGGGGCAGATGGCTGGTTTGTTCCTGCTCTTGATCAGCAATATTAGCTACTGCTTCCTTCTTAGCAATACACTTGGTGGGAACCCAGTACATTATTTTCACAACTCTAGAAATATTTTTATCTTTAGTATTGTTGTACCATAAAGGTTCCTATGACAGCATGGAATCAACCATATTTTTCCTTACACTTTGATTACTAAGAATCTTACTTGGAATTTAAATTCTTAATTTACATCTACTAGCAATTCAGCTTTCGAAGAAGAACATTTCACCTTACCATCCCTTCTGCCCTGAAAGCATCAAAGTAAGAGGGAAGAGTTTACCTGAAGCTAGTAAACAGTGTAAAGAAGTTTTTACAAACGTTTTCTTAAAGTAATGAATCATTTCCTCCACATCCAACATCAAAAGTTTTCAAAAAATATTTTTAATTTTCACTTAGCAAATGCCACCATTTTGATACTCACTGATATTGAATATTTTAACCTTTAAGATGTGCATCCTCTCATGTTAGGCACAAAAACGGCAGTAACAAACAAACAGAAACCTTTTTTGGAACAACACAATAAAGGTCTGCAATCCCACAGATAGTGGGAAAAACTGCCAGGAAAATCAGTTATGAATGCCAGTGTTTGCAAAGAACATTTTAATGGTCATTTAGAAAACCAACTTCCAGGAATAAGGAATTATAGCAGAGAAAGAAACTTGTTCATGAAAAGCAAATACCTTAAGTTTTAAGACAAGTTCATGAGTCTCTGTGACTGTATTCACTATTTGTTTAAGTGCCGTGGAAATATCACATTCAATTAAATCACATTTATTAAAAAAAAAAAAAAAAAAGTAATCTTAACATAATTTAACAGTAAGTCACAGGCTCCTCCTAGTGGTAAGACCGGTAGGATTAGCTATTTTGAAGTATTCTAACACTATCATTACCAGTTATTCTCAATTAGTCTTCCCTTTGGTTTTGGAAGGTTCTTGTTGCTGCTTAGGGAATTCTTACCTAAAGATCAAAAGAAGTAGGACATGTCAAAACACACACAAATTGCTGTAATTATTTTTTTCCTCCAAAGAAAAGTTTACATACCTTTCAACGCTTAGGAGTGACGAAGCTAAGGTGGAAGGGATTTTTCCTTACCTTGTTCTCAAAGACTTTTTCTCTTAGAAAACGTTAAATCTGACCTCCAGATCTGTATTTGGTCTTCAGAGAATGGCACTGAGTATTTAGTAGCAGAAATATGGCCTTTCAGATGAACATGCTATATTCTCAGTTACCAGAACACCTGCCAAGTACAAGTACACATCGTCAAGTATAAGAATGAATTTGTACATTTCAAGAATTTCTTCAGTTTTGAAACCACATTTGGAGCAGAACCCCTGTGCTAGTCCACTTGCAGAGACTGTTACTGATTCTTACTCGTCCCTGAAGAGCAACCTCTGCAACTACTCTTTAACAAACATTCTATAGAAGGGAACAGGGGAGCATTCTCATCATAAGGGCATTTACAGTCCAATTTCTCACGTAGAAAGAAATGCAATTATCTATTTGTACTTTGCTCTTTCTCATTATTTCATGTACGTGTACATTGTACTTTGTACATCACAGCTAATAGCAGTTAGATGCACGAATAGAAAAGGTAAAGCACAGGATGAAAACAACTCACTGGTTGAATGACTTTTATTTTCACATTCAGACAGCTGTACAGTTTCTATAAATAGATATTGTACTATAATATTTACATATTTTCCTCACTCATTACTAGTATATTCCATTCAAAATAGTAGATCCCTGACCAAGCCAAAACAGGATAATTTCCAGGTTCATTTACTCAGAATCCTATGTTAAAACATACAATACATCAGTCTGCATCAAGAGTATTTTTCCAGGTATTTCACAAGTATTATTTTTCTCCAGACAGTCTCACCTTCCAGCATCCTGAGAGCTTTCCAGACAAGTGTAGTTCAATAACAAAAACAGGATGCAAAAAACACTCATATTCAGTCTACTTAAAATAAGGAATGCAATGGATAGTATTAACTGAGGGAGTTTCATTACACATTAACACAGTATTTGAGAGATTCCTCAATATACAAAAGTATAGACTGAAAAAAAGCAATAGATTAAAAGTTTTGGAGAGAGTAATCCTTTGAGCTTCTGAGCACATTCTGCATGTTACTATAGAAACGTCTTGTACAGTTACAAATCCAGAATTACATTGGTACATTACAAGAGCTTCTGCCAATAACAATTCCAAGTTACACATTTCCTTTCTCATTTTCTGGACCCTGCGATTAACGGCTATCAACTACACTGCTGGAATGCCTACAAACATTATTCAAACTCCAATCTAAAATCCACACAATTTAAGGGATGTCAGGGGTTTTCATGATATGTCACTTTCAAATTTCCTTTCTTTTTTCCACTTTAGAAGCAGTCATCTCCACAGATGGACCAACTTAATAACCAAACTATAATTTTCATATGTGATATTTTAAGACTATAGTAGCTTAATTGATCATCTTTACCAAAAGGGCTTGAAGAAGTATATATCAAGAACTCCATGACGGTGAGTAAAAGTGAACAACACAGAAGGAAAACAATAGAAAATATTACATTTAAACAACGTGCAGAACCAGACTGCTTTCACTGCACACAAGAGAATTGGAAAGCAGAAGTCTGCAGCTGTAAAGTGGTAAGTCTGGAACAAATACCACTAGAAACAAAAACCAACTGAACTTAAGCCATATCAGTCATCTTAAGAAAAAGAAAAAAAAAAAGATTCCAAGGAATGGCCAGAGTAGGCCATTCACAGCTGGATGCTGATGCTCAAAACTGTCTGATGAACAGCCCATATAAAAACTCCACTAAAGATGAATTCAGAAGGAGACTGAGCAATGAAGTCTTAGATTTTTCTATGGGGAAAGACTTGCAGGGTCATACATAAATAACCAAGTTCTCAGAGAAGACAGGAAAGTGAGCTCCAGTAACTGCAGTAAAAATGGAAATACTGCACGTCAGTGTGCCATAGGGTAGGTATTTCCCAATATCATGATCAACTGGAAACTGGTCGAGGTGGTTTGCTTTTGTTTTCTGCCTCTTTCCCACGAATGGCAGCCACATAAGAGAAGAGACACAGCACGGAGTAGCAGATCTCGTGAGCCTACAAGAAGTTTGAAAGGGAGATAACAAAATTCAGATGATTTAGCATTTTACAAAATCCACTGCATGTTTTGTATTTTGTTGCATGCCTTTCTTTGTGAAATGACTGCTCTGGCTATAAACAAAATCTGGAAGAAGTGTCCCATGCTACTTTCTCACTGAAATAGAGAGGATGAACCATATAACAAATAAAAAACCTTTGAGATAAAACCATTAGTTGCTTGATAGTATAATTTCTTATATTTTTTTAAGAACAGTACACTAAGAATAAGTTAGCCAATGCTTTAGAAAAAAAATATTCCATATATTTGCTTTAGCCAGGAATGATAAAGATAGCTAAAATGATGGTAAAACCAAACATCCAATACTACTCCTTGACTAACAAGATAGTAGGATTCTCCCTTATCACAACGGTGATCATTTTATGGTCAAGACTGGTAATCCTTATTCCTGGCTAACAAAAGTTTTTTGGATTTTGATGTTTTGTTTTGTTTGTTTGTTTGTTTTAATATATGTGAATAATAACTAAATATTTTAATATATATAGATGGATATAATTTAACATGTCTATAAACAACACCTACCACTGCACATTTCACATGTATATATGTGCAACAAAGCAGTTTTGTCACTACCTTAGTGCAGAGATTTTAACGTGCCATTAGCAGATTTACAAATAATACTTTTAAATGATTATGTCTGCTATTACTTAGTGGAAAATCTTTGCCTAGCATTTGACTGGCAGCACAGCTCAGTGAGGGTAATACAAATTCAGTTTATAACCTAGTTCTAATACTGGCTATTCTTCAGAGTTCTTGTCCTGTATGGTGAGGTTTATACTTACTGTCCTTGTGAAGGTGGCATGCATAATCATAGAGAATATCCTGAGTTGGAAGGGACCAAAACATAAAATGTCTCTGAATAGCTGTTGACCACTTTGGCCATAGTAAGTTGAGGATCCTCAGCACTTTGGAGCAGTAAATTCATTGTGAACTAGAACAACCTGATCTAGCTTTAGATGTCCCTTTAGATGTTCACTGCAGGGAAGCTGGACTAGATGACCTTTAAATGCTCCTTCCAACCTAAACGATTCTGTGATTCTCTGACCACAGAGTCCAACTCCTGGCTCCATACAGGACAACCCAAAATTCCAACCACTCTTCTGATAGCGCTGTCCAAATATGACATGTTTTCTTGTATTACAAAACAAACTACAATGCTCCTGTAAATTATCATTCACTTCCATTAAGCTGCCCTGTTAAAAGATACAGCTTTCTGCTTCTTCAATTGCATGTTTGAGAAACAACATTCTTAGAGTACATTTCTCAGATCAAGTTATTCTTCTCCCTTTTTATGAAGTATGATCAGCTTCCATGCAATTACCACCTGTATGCAACTGTACTTCAGAGAAAAGAGCTGAAAACAATTCATTTATGATGATTATCACTGGCAGCTATTTCCTGTCTGTAAGATACATCAGCCTGATTACTGAAATACACATAAAAGTGCTAAGTAAAATTATCAGCTGTCTGAATTCCAAAATTTTATACAGAACTGAACTTGAAAACACAGCAATAACTCAACTGTACAGAAAGAATCAATACTTAGACCATTCTCTTACATCTCACTGCTCGCTTTTGTGAGGAGGTGGGAACTTTTCATAAACTCAGCTAACAAGACCAGGAATTTGTTTCCCTTTCCATCTGCTTTGTGAATTGGGGATTGTGTCCTGCACTGTCTTCAGTTTAATGCTTTCAATAGCATATTATGCTGAAGATATAGATACAAGCTAGCTGGATTGGTTTGATCTACTTAATGAAAGAGATCACACATTCTGCATTATCCGTAAGTTCCTCTAGTTACACAGAAACAAAAATCACCAAATTTTATAAGAGTTTTAACTAAGGGAAGACAACAAAAGAGCACCTTGTGTTTCACTGCAATGTTAGCGCTGCAAATCCTGCAATCTCAATGCAATTCTCTTCACCACATGAAAATGTAAAGGTTTGTTCTATAGAAAACTACCAGAAGGCATCACAGTTGACTCACCATTGGCGTCTTGTACTTGTGGCTCACCACTTCTTTAGTTTCAGGAACTAAAACCGGACGGGCAAGAGACAAAACAAAAAGTTCAAAAAACGAGAGGAAAAAGGGAAAGAAACAGCACAATGTTCCCATAGGAAAGGAAAGGGATGCACACAGACAGCAGGTGCAGGACCAGGGCTCCTCACTATCCCTCACTTCTAGGTACTCTTTCTTCTCTTTGTTTACATTATACATGTCCTTGACAATACTGATGATGAATTCCTCAGGTTGGCAAAAATATTTTATTGTTTATGTTTGGAAAACCGTAATAGATATTTGATGGTTCTTAAGAGATCCTGGCTTTTCTACTAGTAGTTATTCCTGCTAGGCAGCAAAATTAATGACAAAATGCGCTTAATGACTATTATACTAAAACACAGACCAATTCCATAGGAATTTTTAAGTATTTGATCCACAAAGACATTATTCCCTAGATGTTTGAATCCTTCTCTGCTGAGTAACGGATCTCATAAGAACTGTTGGACACTCTGTCAGTAAGCCAGTGAAATACAGGAAAAAAAGCAAACAAATAGGATATTATGGAGAAAATTTTTCTAAGCTGGAAGACCATTTCACAGCCAGATTTTGAGAAATGCTAAAAATTCTCTTTTCTTCTGTTGAGGACACGCATGCTCATTTTTAACTTGATATTGTCAATGAAAACGTTCTTTGCTTTTGAACACATAGTCTTAAAATAGAACACAGATTTCAATTCCATGTATTCTTAGAATGTCAGGCTTGATTTGATTTCCTGAAGATTTTACACAAAAAGAAGATTAGTGCACTGACTAAAAATTACCCAGAAAATATCACGTTGCTCCTTTGCACTGTCTCAAACTAACAGAAAGAAAGAAGATAAGATAGCTAAGGTAATTTGTCTTTTGCTTTCATTATAGAATGCACAAAAAAGCAGGCTGTAACTATCACCATCAGTATGTGCTGCATCCAAACTGTGCATCTGACCTCACACTTGGTCTACAGATATTGTTGTGAACAGATACCATCGGAAATCACCAGGAGAGAACAAAACCAACACTAAGAACATACAAATGGTAATTTTAAAATGTGTAATAACAAAACCAACTTTGGATACTTCCCTTCCAGAAAAGCTGAAATTTGCCATGAAATTTCTGTATCACAACAAAAAAAAATATTTAGCAGCAGTACAGAAATTATTCAAAACCAAACCATACCAGATTCATAGGGGAAGGGTAAGTATTTTATTACACATAATACTAGTGACAAAAAAGAAAGAGGCAGATGAATTCAGTATGAGTAATTAGGAAAAGTCCACAACAAAATCTATCCATGCAGATGTCATCTTTTTAACTTATGATATGACACATCTAAACATTGGAGAGGGAGACAGATCACGCTCTAAGGAGCCAAAAGTAGGCAGTGCAGACTGGGTTTGAGAAAACTCTCCAGAAACAAACCAGTGCCCACCAATTCTAGTATGTCATGGTACTGTCATTCCTGGAAAAAAAAAAATACTGAAAAGTTCAGAATTGGATTTTAAAAATTAACGCAATATTTCTGGTTGATATTTCAATTCTGTTTTTTTGAAGAGATGGCTGTTATATTAGCAACTGAAAAATGAGGGATGTGCACACCCAGGCTACACTGCCCCAGCAATATCAGAGTTGGGAAGAGAAGGAGGTGCGCATCCAAGCTACCTTACCCGTTGGCACCAGATGTTCCAAATTAACTCCTTGTCACCAGGGAGTAAAGGTGGGAGTGAGGCTGTTGCACAGCCAAATAGGGTAGGATTTATACAGTTGTGTAAGTCTCACTGCCCATTGGATAACATACAACAGCTCATATACTCTTCAAAAAGCAGGAAGGGAAAGCTGTAAGGACCTTGTGCCATGAGACAAGGAGAGAAGGGAAGGTGTAAAGTCTTGTATCATAAGAGAGGGAACAGCACAGTGCTTAGGTGCTCTCTCCTCACTTTGTAGTCAGTAAGTTGCCTTTTCTTTAAGTACAGTACTCCTTTGCAGTCCTATTAGTAGGGAAAATTCTCCTGAGAGGACTGAGTTAGGAAGAACAAAAAAAGCAGGTCTAGATTTGTACCCACAGAAGTCAAAGCGCTATCACTGTAAAATACAGAAAGCAAACAAAAGAACAACACAAAAAAAAAAAACACCAAAAAAAACCCAAAAACCACCCCACCCAAGCCTCAAATTAAGAGATTAGAACAAGCACGTTTCTTCTAACATTAAGACTTATTCCTGATGCTGTTAAGCTAAGCGGATGAAGAATTATTAAGCACCATTCTGCAGCCTTTGGTTCTGTGAATGAAAATAAGGTACTACCATAGAACAAGTTCAGGGGACATCACTTTACCTGCTGGAGAATGAAGGTTTTCATAGCAGCCATGGTGAAGGGGCCACAAGTAAAGCACAAGTACACAGCAGTAACTCAAATTCCAGGGGGAAGAGCCTTACATTTTTTCACCTACTTCAAATCTCAGTTTCCATTTTTGGGCAACAATTCCTGAGCTTCTGCATGTACCCTGCTCTACAATTGCAACTTTCATGCTGATATTTAAACCTGGTGTTACCAAACAGACCTTTAATTTCCTGCTGTGTTATAGCTACAGTTAGAGCAATCACACTTGGCAGAATAAAATAAACAAACTCTGCACCGAGCTGCTTCTCATCAGACTAGTGTACACATTTACTGCACTCAAACTTCCTAAGAGGAGGCACTACTTCAAGATACTCTCTGTACCATGAATCTCATTGCAAGGCTCAAAATGTTTAACATATCTCTGCAGCTTCGTTCTTAAGAAGCCCATGCAACTTGATGGTCAATACCGTCGATTCATTCTTAATAAATTTAATTTTTCCTCCACAGGACAGATTCACACATCTTGTCATATTTTAACAAGTAAAAGAGTGCATATGAGGTAGTCACTCATTTATCAATGAGAGGTTAGCTTCTGTGCAACACCTTTTGTCTTTTCTTTTTTTTCTTAATTAGCTGAATGGATAAACTATAAACCTCATTTGGTCCATTTAAACTGACTGTTGTTAACAACCTCTACTTTGGGAAGAGGGTAGCTTTCACTTTATAAATGATTTCTCAGTTTTTCTTTCAGCATCCAACTCACAATTTATTTTCTCTTACTTTCAAAAATTACATTTCCTTAAGTTTCTTATCACAGTTCTAGATTTTCCTTGATTATAAATATTTTCTGTGAAACAAGAACAAAACATTTCCTAATAGTTATAAGTTGGGGACAAAAAGCTGTACTACAGAATCATTAACAGAAGTTGACTGGAATAATTAAGTCAAATGTTGTCTGTCATCTTGTGCAATGTAAATCAGCTATTAAGAAAACACTTTGAGTTAAGAGTCTTCAAAAAATGACCCAAATATAATTTCTGATCCAATTATTTTTCTCAGAAAACTGCAGCCATGGCTTGAGCTAATTTTATGGCTTCTGAACTCTAATATTTGTAAAGCCTATCAATGTTTCACAACTTCAAGCAACTTCTATCAGAAGTAAAATGAATCACGCCCATCAGGGTGAAAACATATAAAAAGAATATGTAACCATACAATGCAGACATCTTTTGATCACTTACACTATTTTTTTTTTAAATAGGGGTTAAATACAATGATCTGATCACTTGAGCTACATACAACATTTTCAGGAAAGGAGAAAAAATTTCCATGACTTGCCATCCCAAATTTCTGGGAGATTCATTTACAGTGAACAGTGTGCAACCAAGTGTCAGAAAGGTTATACCACTTCAATACCTTATAATTTTCTATCATCAGAAGGAGAGAATGCATTATTAATGATGAAGACAATATTAGCACTCTCCTTAAATTTCTTTTAAATTATTAGAGAGAATCCATCAGTCAGAATCTTCTATTCACAGCACTAGAGAACAGTGAAGGGAGCTGTTTATTCAAATATTATTTAGCAGCTAAAGTATGCTGATTTAGCAAGAAAACAATGTTGTAAATTTTATCTTTTTAGTAAAACTTTGAGACCTACACTTAAGACTCATGCAGATGGGTGGAAGAATAAAACAATACAGGTATGGGGACTATGTCAAGAGAAGTATATGTATCACTATTGAGCCACATCTAAAGCCATTCTTTTTTTTTTCATTTATCAGTATAATCTGACTAACATTGAATAGAAACCCAGAACTTTTCCAAATTAGACTACAGGCAGATTATATGTAATAGCAATTAATAGCCTAAATGGCACAAATTCTCTATTTTCCTTAACTGTTGCTTGACTACAGTTTACCAGTCATACTCTAAAGCCAAAACCACAGTATAATGCTCGATCTTACAAAAGACCTTCTGCTGCACAGAAAAAAATTAAACTCCATGTACAGTGGAGAATAAACATTTAGCAGAACTTTTCAGCAGTGAAAGCACAGCGTGTTGAGAAAAATAAATTGCAAGTCCTGCTTAAAAAAAAAATAAGTCAGAAGAAAAAGAAACATACCAAAGAAGATTCCTATGCACATCCAAGATTACCTGATGTTTTGTCTGCTTCATGAAACTCAGAACACCTGATTTGTTTGCTACAGGAGAAACATCTAGGCCACAAGTCTCACTATGATGGAAGTGCACGTGCAAATTTTTATGTGAAGTTCTCATCTCTCTGTTAGGTAACTTTTCAGTGGAATCTACATTTCCCTTCCATCTTTGAAACTACAGTGCAATTCTGAATCTAGAGTCTGGAAATTTGAGTTACTGCCATGTGAATACAGACCTAATATCAAAATAATGTAATTACCAAATTCCTCCAGGACAAAGACTCCTCGCACTGTATTGCACTTTTTAATGTGATTCAGCTCTATGAAAACCTACAAAAACAGGAGCAAAAATAACACAAAATTAGTAAGTTTTCCTCTTAAAATCTAAAAACCAAAATAAAACAAAAACATCACCACAGCAGATACAACCTGAAGTGTTTAAGCATACACTACCAGTTCATTTACAGTTTAACATATAAATAAAGGGTGAAATAAATATTCAGAAGACAAACTGGCCACAATGCTAGAAATCAACAAATAACTTAAAAGTGCTAAGAAGCGAAGACAGCAGAAGATGAAGTACCTTCCGCTCCTTGCAGGAGGAGAAAGCATGGAAGAGAAACGAAGGAGTTAGTAACTCTGACATATCCAACATTGCTACCCCTTCAGGCACTCAAATGAGTTATTGCAAAAAGAATATCAACACACCTGAAATACAACGGAAGAGGGGGACAAGAAAAAAGCTGACTCCCAAATTTGCCACGATTTGTAGCCTCTGATCCATCCCAGTTTCTGCCCCTCCATGCGTCCTCCTCCAGCACAGAGGGCAGGTAAGGGACACTACACTTCCCCCATCCTGACACTGACTCTTCTGATCGACCCGGCAGTCACTTTTAATCCAATGACAAACTACTAGCCATCTTCCTCTCTGATATTCTTGCACCATTTAACTTTGTATTACTGCTTATAATACATAACCTGCATACTTACACTTCAAACTGTCTCCTCTCAGTACCAGTTTTCTGCTTTAAGCAGCATGGGAGCATTTGGGACCCTTCTCTATTGTTTGCTCATTTCACACATGGCCACTGTCAGCTGGGCAGTCGCTTAGAAGACAAACCTTTTAACTGATTTTTACAAACATAAACCCCAAAAGACAAAATAATTGAACTACACAATGAGGTTTTTCAGTCTAGAGCCTAAATGACAAGATTGCATAAATATACAAGTTCTCTAAGCATATTAAGTTTGTTCAATAGCCAATATATTTCAAGATATAAAACAGTCCCTTTGCATATGCACAGCTCCACAATGATCAGTCAAGACACAAACATATGAAAGAACTATAGAAAGTACCATAAATAAATTCCACACAGCAGTGTCTAATATGCTTCCATTTCTAGGCAGGAGAAACACCATTACCCTAACAGTCACAGTAAGTCTATTTCCAGTACCTTAGAGATGCACTTGCAGTACTGTATTACAACAGTCTGGATCCATACTTTCAGTTCCTACGTACTTTTGGCAGTATGACCTTAGGATCTTATACTAGAGAAACTGCACTGCCTTGGAGAGAAGGGAAAGGAAATATGTGCGACCCTTCTGAATTCAGCACTAGAAAAAGTTATACAGCCCTAGATGTTATGCTACCCCCAAAAAAGCAAAGAGAATCACAACCACCTTTTTCTTCAAGAAACAAGCTAATATGTATCAACAGAGTTCAGTAAATGTGACCTCAAGTCAGGTTGATCTTCTAGACTGTGTTTTTTTTAATTGCTGTTGTTGTTTTAACCAGAGACCTAACTAATAGTCACAAGATATTTTTTGATCAGCATCAAAAACTAAACTTCCAGTTACCTGAACAGAAAATCCGAAGCTTGCATCTGCTTACATTCAGGCACTCAGGAAAGGAAAATTAATCACATCTTTCTTTGTATGTTTTCACCCACATTTCGATGATTAAAATATTTTATTTTTTGAGGAATAGCAACAGACAAAACCAGGCAACATCAAAACCCTCTACTGTACTCAGTTGCCTCTTTCTGTAATATCCCCTGTAAAAATTTTTTGCTTGTAGTCTAAAGCACAACACTTAAAAACTGAATAGAAAGGCCTGATGTTTTGTCCAGTAGACTTGACTATTTCTGATCATCATGTTCTGTGTATAACACAGAAAGCTGTGTTTCCACAAGTCAGGAACTATATGAGAATTTGTCAAAATTATAGTAAGTTACCCATTTTCATAACACAAGAGTTGAAAGACATCCTCTCACTACACTGATTAAGGGATAGAGATGTTCTCCTCTCAGCCAGCAAACACACAAGCGTGTAAAGGAAATATGAGCTACTCACCCTAGGGAAACACCTTCTTCAAGATAGGGCATTCACTGTGGATCCTAATGAAAGTGGGCATGTGCCTGCTGCATTGTATTAAACTTTCATTTATTTATCATGCAGATGAATTCATAACTGGGACAGTTACTGAGACCCAATATTAGACAAAATTTGTAGATTTCAACGTAGAATTTTGTGAATAGCCCTCCAAAATCACAGGAACATTTTAACTCCTCCCTATTACAGCAGGATTTCCTCTGATCCTCTAGGCATGGACAAACTTGAACAGTTTTTCTTCCTAACCTTATGTGCACTGCCAGCACGGGAAGACAATTTGTGAACTATCACGCATCAGAAACAGGTTGGTCCACCATGTATCTTAGGCATCTCCTGTGCAATGGGGCAGCACCGAAGTACATGCGCTACAAGTCGAGTCTTCAAAAATAGCTTCAGGAAACGCAGCAGCATTCTGACACTGAAGCACTGTGTTCAGTCTTATCAGGTAGGTCAGAACAGAGACCTTTTTATTTTTTATTTTTAAAAAAAAACCGAGTAGAAATCAATTAAAACATAGGAAGACTGGCTATTTCTATGACTTCAATCACAGCAACAGAAATCTTTTATCCAAGTTGCCTTGTTGAAAAGACAGGCAAACATGAAGCCTGGATGTGGGATAAGAAAAGGAAGATGAAAAAGAAGCTGTGTCTGACGAGGTCCTACAGGATTAGTTAGTTGGTATTCCCATCCAAACTGATTAAGAAATAGAAAAAGGCAGTTGTCAACAAAGTGAAACATCTGTAGAGTCCTGGGTTTGCTTACACTTTTATATACAAATATATATATATATGTATGTATTCTGAAATCAACTGCTTTAGGGAGGAATTCGTACTATTTACATGAAAAATGAAAAGAACAATTTATCTGAAACAGTAGACCTTTTATTAAGAAAGCAGTCTGTTTGATGAGTGTTGGAATAAGAATGCAAACATCCTTGATGATGAAATTTGGAAAGGCTATTTTTGCATGGTACCACTAGGAGGAGTGTTTTACATGACTGCTAGTTACGTGTTCTTTACAGGCCCACAAATGGAAGACTTCTGATGTCTGCCCAGACACTTTGTTTCGAGACTGAAGAAAACTAGGATAGGTCCTAGGTCTACTTAGGTACTCAATTCCCTTGCTAGTTAACACTGTAAATCTAATAGACTCAGGAGTTCAACATATTGAATTAACAAGTGCATTTTCCAGAACTGTGCATCAATCTACTTCAAATAATAGGAACTCATCTGATTGCAGCTTCATAAGAAAGAGGAGGAAGAGGAAGAATAACTTTAAGGGTGGGGAAAACAGTTGGTATATTTCAAAGGTCTGACCTGCATTTGCACAGACCGTCCTACAGAAAAGATGTACTAGCTTTCATCTCTGACAGGAAATCAGAACACCGTTCTCCATCAGGAAGGACACGATAAATGTACTACACTAGGAGTGCTGGAGGTAACACAGGACTCAGTGTCTGTGATTCCAAATTCAACAAGCAATGTTGGACTCACAGTCCTACAGTAAGAATCAGCACTAGGTTTCTCTAAGGTTTCCTTCAAAATGTCATTCCAGCCTTGCAGGAAAAAAAAGAAGTCATATAGAACACGTTTGAAATACTAACAGCAAGTCAGCTATAGTCATTCTAACCTGGTAAACACAAAGAAAACCCAAGGAGGTTCACAATACTCTAATCCTCACCCTGGCCCGTATGAACTCAAAGAGTCACATGGTGCTGCTGCAACTTCAGGAGAAGTATTAAATAAAGACTCTGAGCATGTGTGTCTGAGATCCACATGAACTTCCAGTGGGATCTACACTGATGTTTATTCAAAAAATAAAGCTCATGTGAGGAGAAATATCTAATCAGGAGGAGAGGAAAAATAACTCCATGGAGGACTGACAGAAGCTTTTGGTTTTTGTTTTTTTTACACACATACACACTCACTCTCTCTCTCTCTCTCTCTCTCTCTCTCTCACCTCTTCTCCTGAAAGTTGATTCTACTGTCTAGCACAGCATGCAGTTAATGTCATATGCAAAACAAAAAACACAAAGCAAAATAAAAAACAAAAATCAAAGGAAGCAACAGAAACAACATCCACAGAAAGGGAGAAATGGCAATTCTAGTTGTGTTTCCTCCATTCCCATAAAAGTTAGATGGAAAAGACTTGGTAAGTTATTCTCATTTTTGTGAATTACAGCAAGAGTTACTTTATCATTCTATTTTCATACTGAATTCTACAAACAATTCTTCATTTTTTAAAACAAGGCAGAATACATATGATGCAGAAAGTTGCCCTTTGCACTTGCAATATTCAAACACTATCTATAAAGCTGACAGTTTATGCCACCTGGACATTATCACAATGTGATGCTTTATGGCAGATTCCAAATGATTTTTGGAATTTTTTCCATCCTTTAAGATCCTGTCTACCATTTGTTTTGCATTTAGACAATTTTGTCCACAAACAACCAGAAACTGAAACCTCCATTAAACTTTTAGCTTTTTTCCTTCAGCTCTTTACAGCTGTCATGAGGATCTCGTTTCAGTGTATTTTTATATTATATAAATAGATGTATTTATATGCATCCCCCCTTGCACTAGCCCTTTGTTGGCAATACCTTTGGGAAGAGGAAACACAGATGATGCAGGTAAGCTGCAAAAAGCTTCATGCTCATACTGTCATCTTACAGATCTCCCCCATACCTGACTGTGCATAAATTTCAGGTTAATTCCTTCCAGTGTCACCTGCAGAAGACCTCCTTCGCCAGTTTTCATATCCTGCACAGGAAACTCACCACCCAACTCAGGACCTGTGATATGTTAAAGGAAAAAAAAAAGGGAGGGTGAAGAGAATAAACAGAAACAAAAGCAGTCAATTGAGACATATGGAAAATGCATAACAGTAAAAACAAATTTTAATCTGATGCACACAGCATTTCAGTAGAATCCACAAACAACAGACATCAGAACACCAGTGGATCTTTGAGTACCAAAAAATTTCAGCCTTCTTACATGCAAAGGACACCTGTGGTCAGCTCAGCCTATATTTCTTGTGTTTCATATTGTTGGGGGTTTTTTGTTTATTTTTATTAAATGCCTGGTAAAACATGGCATGGTTAAAAAAAAAAAAAAAAAAAAAAAAAAAAGGGATAGGAGAACAATGCAATCACATAATACTGAAGACAGTATAACTCTTCAGTACAAAAACATAAGCAAGCACAAACTAGGCTTCGAAGTTTTGACCTTGGTGGTTTTTGATGGCATTATCTTGTATTTTAAGCAATCAAAAAATTGTGGTTGCTTTGACAAATCAACAGAAGACATAAACAGATTTTCATCTATTTTCATCTAGGCATTTTTAAGCATTTCTAGTTTCCTTTGCATCATTCACTTCAGCTAGAAAATTTCTCTTTTTTTTTTTTTTTCTTTAAACATCACTAATGCAGAACCACCAAAATGAGGAAAGGCTTTCAATACATTTTTAATACTGCATTGTTGCCCAATTCTTAGAATAGTTTTCAAATATACTTTTACCTCCTGCACCCTCAGTGAAAATCCAGCCCATCCTCTTCCTGCTCAGATTAAACTGGACTAATATTAGGAGGAAATTCATGTTTTCTACAAGCTACAACAGCTAAGCTGAATGTTGAATCCTTAGGATGCTGAATTTAAATGCAAGTAACTTTTTCAGTCATGCTGATGTCAGTTATGAATATAAAGCATAGATCCCTCAGCTATGGCATTAAGATATACCATGAAATTTGCTTGTACCTCAAAGCACAGCTTCTAGATCTAGCATCTGCTTGCAAAAAAGGAACACTCGCAACAAAAAACATCATACTTGAAAACCCATAGCAACCCACTTTGCCTGAATCTGCAAAGTGACTCCAGCACAAGAGATGCAAGGGTCTTAAGAATGTAAAAATTAATTCACCTCCATGATTGTTACCCATACAGACACAGCACTTACGCCTCTCTGGGAGGTAAGAAAAACAAAAAGTTGCCCATCTCAGAACTCAACTCCCCAAAATTACAAATCCCCTTTTCTAGACTTTTTGACTCAACAGGAAAAGGAAAGGAATTTACGCCAATTATAATTATATTATTCTGTCTCACACAGTGATACTAAACCAAGAACAATGTCTACAGGGGATAAGTTACATTAGTAAGGACACTGGACTAACCACTATTTGATTTGCACAAGAACAATACTTTCCAATAATAGTAAAGACTTGTGCTTCGGAAGCCTGCAGAAAGCAACAAATTCACCACTGTAGATTGACAGAGACATATGAATATACTGTTAGACTCAATTCTCAACACAAAGTGGATACAGTTGTACACCCCAATCAGAAATAAAAGTCAAATAGCTGTGAAGAGAAAACAAAGTTGCAGCTTCATAGTATTTTCAAGTTACGATTTTGCTGGTAGTTAGTCCTCCTTACATGTGGACTCTTCTTTAAACAGGTGTTTTGCTTTTGCTTGGGTCTAGAATGAGGTATATAGGGGCAAGAATAATAGAAGGCTAAGAATAATATTAAATCTGCTGTGTACACACGGCTGTGCAAAGTTACCTTCTGGTTTCCAACTTACAGGACATGATGTTTAAATAAACTAATAAAAAAGCCTGGATGATTACAGATGAAACAATAAATATTCCCAACAAGCAAATCTTGTACCTGGTTTAATGCTTTGCTGTCTTGCTGCTGCTCGTTCCATGCTGTCTTTTACACAGTAGTATAATTCCCGACACTACCATATAAGAAGAGTAAAATAATGTTATTTTCTCATATTACAGGGGAAGTGAATAGCAAGATTATTAAAATAACAAAACAAAACAAAAAACAAACATAAGCAAACTCCATGTGGCAATGTGGCGCAAATAGCAAAAGGCTATTAAAGATTAACCACAGATTACTTACCAAACCAAAGATTACTTACTGTATGGTATTTATAATTTTGTAATTTCTCTATCAACTTGAAAAATAAATATTTTGCATCTAAACAGCATGAGCTAAGGAACAAGTCTCCCACTGGGTGCATTAGATTACTCATGAGAATGATGTTTACTCAGTTTCCTAGCGTAGAAGTTTCAAAACAACATTATAATCCCTCTCCCTCCTTCTCAACGTTCAGAAAACAATGTTGCTGGTCATGCTCATATAGTTTATCTTTTTGTTAATTATCTTCATTTCCTTATGCTATATTCCTCAAACAATCTTCCTCCAATTCTCTTCTCTAATATAACGTAATAGGTAAATTGTAATCTCAGAGTAAATTTTAAGAGAAATTTCACAGAATCATAAATTGCCCGGGTTTCTACCCAGGGCCCCAACTACATACAGTTGACTTTCTAAGTAACTTCCTTAGCACACTCTCTTGTATTCCTTCCCTCGGTACTCACACCTGAGTTACAATGACTTGGTCTATGCAAAATTAATTGTTTGAAGCAGAAATCTAAACACTTTACACTTCAAAAATAGTAGCCTTTCAATATGTTATTTGCAGTTACAAATCTTTACCTTTTGTTTGCTGATCATTGTGTAAGAGTTAATGGAGTTTAAGAGCTATTGGAGTTCTCCTAGTAGGTTTAAGATATTTCTTTATACATGTAATTAATCATAAGGAGAAGAAAAGGGCTTTCCAAATAGTGGAGAAAGACATATATGAAATCAGCAAAACCAAACATGGGCCAATGAAAAAAAAAAATAAATCTATTTGATCAAGTTTTAGATTTAAAATAGCACAATTAACTCAATTGGAAGATACAACTTTATTTAGCTCTTACCCATGAATCCCACACACTATTTTTGACATATTACTAAGTCTCCACGACCATTCAACACATATTAACTGAAATCCTTTCCTTCACATAGCACAGTCCAATCGCATATTACTCTTAGTTCTTCAAATAAAAAAAAACAAGTAAAAGCTACACATCATTTTTAATTACATCCTGCTGTACTACTGCCTCCAGGAAGATGACAAGGCAAAATGTTACCTTCAGTCAGCGTTAAGCAGCCATTGCAGTTCAGTAAAGAGTACTGAATAGAGAATGCTATTATTTCATTTAAATACACGACACACCAATACAACATATTTGTTTTGCACTGTCTTGTCTGCATTAAATAAAATGTGTACCTTCTTTGTGTAGAACTTGTTCAGTTGTGTTTCCTGGCCATTCCTCCGCCACAGACACAGAACTTTTGTTTTGGGGCAGTAAGTCATGTTGATGAGTTTCTCATACCACCAACGTTCATACACAGTTCCAATGTTGCTTCTCAGCACAATGCAGTCATCACACACCTCAGGGCACAAAATGTTAGTATTAGAAATCTCATCTAACTCATCTATTTGCTGAATGCTACTATTTGCATTAATATATGTATGTTCCTTTCCCTACCTCCATGAAAAATATGTCTCCTGTAGTGTCTGTTCCAGCATGGACTACAAAAGTCTGCTTCTTGATGTGGCGGCTGCCACTGGGTCTCACAGGGAGCTCCCGTCCATTCTAGGTAAGATAACATAGCACCATTAATGAACTTTGAAAACAACTTTCTTGAGAGGTGTCCAGTAGGTGACACTAGAAGCATTTTCAACAAGAGAAATGTATCTTTAACATAAATGAGCAGAGGCAATTTTGGACAAAGCCTTAGGCATGATACTCCAGTAAGTTTAGCCTCAAAAAGAGCAACTATGAAAGTCACTGCAGCACAAAACAACATTCAAGATTCAAGCTGGTATCATGTTCAGTATGTGATAGTGAGGTGTCTATTTCCTATAACTATTAATATTGTAGTGAAATGATCTGTTTTTTTCCCAGTTAACAATAGGAGAATTTAATGCCCTTTCAGTGCATAAAACCAAGCTACAGTCTTAGCAAGAACAAAGGTTCCCAACAATAGTGATATTAGGAAAACATCAAAGTTGCACAGAACTCTAGTGCCAAAATCTCACATTTATACCTATTTGTACTGCAGTTCCGATGGCTGACTACATAATATTATAAGCAGGGTCATACAACTAACTATGGTCTTTATACCATTCATATGAAGGCAGTATTTAATAATCTGATATAATGATTTCTAATATTTTTTTCGTAGTGTTGCAGCTGAGCATTTATAGCATTTTGAATTGTTTTTTCCTCCCTCTACTGAAGCTCCCACAGATGCATCATTCATCATGGTTTCACCTACCAGGTTAGCAAGCTTGTCTAGAATGTCATTTAACTGCTGGCTATGCAACAATCCAATATGTGATTTTCCCATCAGACGACGCACCTTTTTCCTAATATCATTCTTATTCACCTAGAAAAAACATATAAAAAGACAGTTAGTTACTCTTCTCTAATCACAGGCAACTCCCTCTGCCTCCTGAATTCAACATATTTTTGTTTTCATTGCTAACACTGCAAAACAACCCATCTGCAGTTCAGCCATGCTAGGTCCTCCTTAGCCCGGCAGTACCAGCAAAAAAATTGCTCATACTTCACTTTTCCCAACTATAGGACAAGAGACACTACATACAACAGATTTCCTGCCTACTCTTGCACAGCAAAGCAGCAATTTCATTACACCCTACTTCCCACTACTGAGATCAAAATTTCCAATTTCTCCACATTGCCACTTATCAACTTTATTCACTCTCCCCATCTGCATCCACTGATCAAAGTAACTGGTTATTATTACTGCTACTGAAAGTATCACAAGCATGCATGTCCTAATAGCCAAATCTCAGCATTCTTCTGAAATAAAATCATTCCAAGTATACTCAAATTCCACCTTAAAGCTTATCTTCATATTCTATCAGAAAAAAAAAAAAAAAAAAAAATCAATCAATCAATCCTTGTTTCTTTCCCCACTTTCCCCTCCAAAAAATTACATGAAGCAACTTCTCCTCTGGTTGGATATCAGACATTCCTAATCTTTTCACTACTATGGAGTGATACTTCACTTCCTCATATACAACATAAAAAGTTATCAAACTACCACTTATGTATACCCAGTCTGATTCTCAAGGTGTTGCACTAGCAGAATAGTGCACCAAAACTGTTACAGGATTGTCCTGGAAAAGCAAGTCTACATCTAGACAGAAGTTTTATAAGATTGATTTTCCAGTAACTTTCAATGGAAAATTTGCATTATTTCAGAAATAATTTAGATTAAAAGAAAGTTATTAGTAACCACCTACAGTCTTAAGAACATATAAGACAGCCCACTGAATGAAAAAGGATTTCGTAAAGTAACTGCAAGTTTCACATTGAGCTACTGATATGCATATTCATAATCTTTCCATATTTTCCTTTCAACTCTGTCTTCCCCAAAATGAACTGGAATTTGCAGCTATTAGGAAACCAGACTAAAGATGCTCTCTACCTAACTTGTAACTCATATTTCCAAGAGTAAGAATGTCCTCTAGAGGTGCTGGCACAGCTAAATATTTCATAGCTTACATTGCAATGTATATGCATACCTATAGCATAGGACTGCTTAAACTAAGACAACAAACCTCAAAAGACCTCCAGGTTCTAAAACAATTTCCTCATTAAGATCAGATATTTCAACATTATGTTACTATATTGGTTTCAAGACACCACCACCAGAATACATTGGTTTGATATGAGCAGTGATCTATTAAAAAACAACAACCACTCACCTTTATCATAAGCATATAAGCGATCATATTATGCAGCAGCGTAGCCAACAAGCGGTCCTCATCATCCTCCAAACGCTTTCGATCATGTTCTCCCAGGGAAAGATACCTGCAAGAATAGTTAGTTGTGAAGTAGAGCATTTTTCATCCAATTCACTACAGCACTGGCAGGGGACAGAATGATACTTATAAAAAGTGTATGGCAAACAAAATCTTCAAAGACACTAAGCTGAATGGACGTTTTCCAGTACAATGATGCATTCATCTATTAAGCATTCATTCATTATTTAGTTCAAGCAACTAGACTATGCTCAGTGGGAAAGTTCTCAGCAGCCCACTGGTCTTCCACAGTTGCAGCTTCACGACAATTGCTAGAAGAGGAACATATAAATCAGTACAAGAGTTGTCCTCTTTAGAGCTTTGCTTCTGCTATGCAGCTCCATTTAACTCAAGATAGAAGTGTGCAGATCATCTCTTATTCCAGTTGAGCAGACAGATTTCAAACTGCTTATTTTTCCAGTAAATAGAAACCCACTGACTACTTCTGGCTACTTCAGCTAAGAGCTAATTCTACATGATAGCATGGCTATAGATGGCACAGACACAGGTGGTACAAAGAAAAGAGAATGATCAGACTTCAGCATGGCTGAGAAAAATAACAGTAGGCAATAAAGACAGCTTAGAAGTAGCATTAAGTAGTCACACATGTTTCTAAAGAGTTGTTTTCTCACTGTGGTGTTTTCCAGATTTTTGTTTATTTGTAGTACAAACTGTAAAAACACCTATTTACAATTTTGTCTTATGGGAAAGTTGAAAATGCACTTTCTGAAGATATTTAACTTCTTCCAAAACACTGGTATATCCCTTTGTTCCAGAATACATTTGTCTGAACAAAGAAATCCTTTGCTTTATTACCAGTTGAGCCTATTCCACAGTGTGATCAGATTTACCATTACTTCTTTCCCAAAAGATATCATGAGTGCTAAGAGAGACATGTGACAGTTGAAGATAGTATTTCAGTAGAAGGAGATGCTGACCAGCACAGAGACAAAAGGCTCATTTTGGGATAGTCAGTAACAGCACCAAAGTTTACAAAGTGACAAAATAACACATGCTACAGAACTAAAACAATATTATTTCTACTTTGTCAGCCCCGGATGAAATGAGAAAGAAAAGAAGGCCGCTAAGAACTTTACCTGTCAATCATCTCCTGCGGTCCTTGATCCATCCCCATTCCTTCTCTCTCTAACATCACAGCATCCAAAAAGGCATCTTCCCAAAACTGCATCTGGTCCCACAGTGTTGAGCGTTCTTTGCCTAGAACAGACAAAATTTGAGTGTTTATTCCAGGCAATTTCCCTTTTTCTTTTTTTTTTTTTCCCCATATTTTGAAAATGTGACAAGCCAACAAACAATCCATATTAAAAAAGAAAAAAAAAAAAAAAAAAAAAAGGAATAACTTTTAAATCACAAACAAAATCACAACAGAGGAAAAGTGTAAAATTAAAGACAAAACACACTGCTCTAATTCATGACATAATCTTTTGAAAAATTTATACAAAAGAATCTCTCATCCCTGTTCTGTAAGAGATATACTTTCTTCCATATACTGTTAAACACTTTTGGAAGCGACGAATATTTCACACAAACACAAATCATGGCAAACACACAGACAAGTGGAAAGATGAGATTATTACTCATAGAGAAGGTTTCCATTGCAGCATCCTCTAACTGGTCCCAGACAGATCCTTTATCCCTACCTGTATCATTCCAAGTGGGTAGGAAGAATGAATAGAAAGAATGAAAAACAGAGGAAGAAAGAGCTCTTGATTAACAGCAAGTCCAAGTAAAATACATTACAAACAAAACAAAACAATATACTGCTAATTCAGGGATGCACACTCTAAAACCATTAAACTTTTGAGTTTAGTAGCCTTTTATTTAAAGACTTAAACTTAAGGAACTTTTCTTAAAAGATCAGCGTTAGATTATAGTTTTCCATGCATAGCTAACTAAATTCCTTCCATCTTCCTTCCAACAGTATGAAGTATTCTTACTCAAGAACAAGAGCCTTGTAAAAGCTACACGTAATGCAAAGTACACCACCCTCCCATCTTCACTTATTCAATCTCCCCAGCAAATCCTTTGCTTTACTCTGTATGTCCAAATGGACTCTCCTATTCTACCAGCACATACAACAGGGAGTAGTTTAAAAAAAATAATTCTCTGGGAATGCATAAATTCCAGTCTGCCCCAGACATGACTCCAGCTTCAGTCTAAAAGATCCCCTTGCTCCCTCAAAAATAGCTTACCCAAAAGGCCTTCATAGAGATAGACACGCTGGTTCCCATCCTCTGGACCTTTCCCTGGAGTACTGCCTTTGTTCTCCTTTACATTCTGCTTCAAGTTATGAGACTTTGCCTGAAAATAATATACGAGGTGTCAGACATCTCTGCAACCTGCAGGGCTGTTTCTTGCAATATACTGCTGCACTTAACAACTTGCAAGTTATATTTCGTGTACACTTTTCCCACAAATGTTTCCCAAAAAAATGAAGTTATTTTGTTAAAAAATTTTGGTGGTTGTTTAAAATCTGAATACCTACATGGTAAAGGCTTTTACAGTTCAGTGAAGATTATAACATAATGAATGCAATCACACCAACGTTTAGATACTGCTAGTTGTTGTCACATACAGTTGACATCTTGACTTAACTAAGTCAACTAATATGATTGCTTTCTTTGTAAGATGTATATTAAGAGGTTATACCAATAGTCAAGAACTTTAAGAACAAAATATGCTCTACGAGCATTTGAATTTTACTGCATACATATCTTCTAGTTAGGAAAAGATAGTTAAAAGTTATGATTAAGCTTCAGGTACTATTAATGTTGTTAAAAAACAGAAGAACTGCTAACTTCCATCATCATAGGCTCATCACTTTTTTGTATCAAAGAGCTGCTCCTAGCAAACAGGCTATCAGTTCCTTTTAGTTAATTAAAGTCAGACAGTGCTCTTTGACCTTTTTGTTTGTTTGTTTCTGAAGGGGAATTAAATGTCAATTTGGTTGAGAGTAACATCAAGCAAGGGTGAAATTAAAGATTGCTAGAGCCTATAACATGATGTGGAACACAAATCTACTGTACTCAAAGAACCACATATTGCACAGGATATGAAGAAAGGCACACGGATCTAGTAAAAATGTAATCCTTAATATTTTGGTATTGTAAATAATTGTTGATTAATCCTCCAAAGAGAATCAAATGCCCTTTTTCAAATACACACTAAAATTAAAATGATTACTGGGCAGGAATTTTAAAATAAATAAAGGTATGCAGCATTCTTACAAAAATAGAGCTAGTAGCAGAGTTCGTCTCAATTTCACTGTCTGACACAGTGCCCCTGGATCCTGTCAGATTGCCTCCATTTTCCACACTTGGGCCATCACCAGCATTGCTACTCAAGTCACTGTCTGCTCCTAGTGTCTCCCCAGAGCTGTTACTAACCTGTGGAGAAAGATAAAGCCATTATTCCTCAGTCGTCAAGACAATGCAGACAGAAAAAGTTGTAATTTTTTTTTTCTCTTACAGCATAAAATAATGAACGGTACCAACTGAAGGCCACCTCTGCCTTTCCTTTTTCAGTGATACTGTTCTCACTCAAAGTCCAGTAAAAGACTAAGAGTCCTTCAAAAAAATCCCAGAAGTGTTTAGTTTGGAACAGATCTGTTAGGATGTTATGTTACATCCCCCCGGTTCAAGCAAGGTCAGCTAGAGGATGTTGCTGAGAACCATGTCCGGAGAGGTTTTGAAAATTTACATGCATAACTATTTAATAACCTCTGTGGGCAAGCTATTCCACTGTTTTACCACTCTGACAATATTTTTTTTTTTAAAGTATATTCTGTTCAGATGGAATTTCCTGTGCTTTACTTTTTGTGTTGATCACCTCTTGTCCTAACAGTGGTTGCTTTTGAGAAGAGTCTGACTCCACTGTCTGCACTCCTTCCTGTTTAGTATTTATACACATTGATAAAAACCTCCCTGTGCCTTGCTTTCTTCAGAGTCCCAACTCTCTCAGCCTCTCCTTATATGAAAGATGCTCAGTTCTTAATTGTCTTTGCTGCTCTATGCTGGACTGCCTTCAGTGAAGCTGCCCTTGTATGGGGAACCCAGGACTGGACATCCCGCTAAAGCGGAGGTAAGCAACATCATCCATTACTCTCCTCTCACACACTAGGTTAGTTATCCCACTGTCTGAGTTAACAGCTCAGATAAGCATAATTGCCCCTTTGTAAATCCATGCTGACTACTCTCATTTGTATTCTCATCTTTCATGCATTTGGAAATGCTTTACAGGAGATTTTTCTCCACCTTCTTTCCAGGGTCTGAAATGATGGTGACCAGGCTGTAGTTCCCCTATCTCTTTTCTTGCCCTTTTTGAAGGCAGGAGTGATGCTTGCTCTAACTTCTTCCTCAGAAATATCTCTCAATCACCATGATTGCTCAGAGACAACAGCATCAGCCAATTCCCTCAGTGTTCATGGCTGGAAACTATTAGGCCCCATGGACTAATGCATATCCAGTTTATTGAAGTGTTCCCTAGCATAGTCATCTCCATCAGTAGTAAGTCTTCCTTGCTCCAGCTCCAGGCTTCTTCAGATCTCATAGGCCTGGAATTCCTAATGGGTAGTTTTACTGGTAAAGACTAAGGCAAAATAGGAACTGAGTACACCAACCTTTTCCATTTGTCACCAGTTCCCCTGCCCAATTAAGTAACGGGCCCAAGCTTTCCCTAATTTTCCTCTTGTTGTTTACAGACTTGGAGAATCCTTTCTTGTGGCCATTCACATTCCTTTCCAGATTTACCTTCAGACTCCACCCCTGCGAGATGGTACAGCAAGTCTATATTCCTCCTGGGTCATCTGCCCCTGCTTCTACCTGCTATGCATTTCTGTTTTACGCTTCAATTTAATTAGGAGTTCCTTGCTTATCCATACATGTCATGTGTTGCCTTTGTTTGATTTCCTATTTGTTGGGATGGAACCTTCTTGAGCTTGAAAGATTAGATCCTTGAATACCAAACAGCTCTTCTAGACTCCTTTTCTCTCCAGAGCTACATACCACAGACAATAATTTCTACGTCCAATAGAGAAGGACAAAGTATTATTCTTGTTACAGGCTGGGAAGAGATTATGGAGAACTAAATATTCACAGGTATGCAGCAGTTTAGAGAGAAGAGAACCCAAAAACAAGAAGGAAATTCCTTGAAAAATGCTGTATCAGATAACATGCAGCAGGGAGAAGTCTTTTTTGTTGAATGCATTTGTATTCCTTTTTCTCTAGGCCCTACAGCTGATCAGAAGAAGCAGACATATTTACACATGGTTCAAATGGCATAAGGTAATGTATCAGAAAATTATTTCTTGCTTTTAATGCATCAAACAATCTATTTTTTTTTTCCTCTGGCTACAGTCTTTTGAGATAATTTGTATACAACTAAGTCATATTTATAAAAGAATTGCCTGTTCCATAAATACGCCAATATGCAGGAATACATAAACACAACAAGTATCATATATGTCAGATGCAATCTGCTAGTAAAACAATGCACATTCTGTCAGATAGACATTCGCCACCCACTCAGAGGCTCTGGACAGAGACAACATCATAGGCACAGTATGTGGTGTCTGTGATAGTATGCAGTCATACCGTACACAAAACATAAGCATGAAATGCTCTTCACTTTACTAAGAAGTGAATCACATCAAGATTTCACTTTGGGTATACCCTACCACTGTGCTAACTTCAGAATCCTGGCTGGTACTTCGGACCATTACTGATGGTCCTCCGCTGGGAACAGAGTCAAAATCACTCTTCTGCAATCAAAGACACAGAGGAAAGAAAGGTCGTATCAGTTTAGTTTTGATCATCACAGAAAAACCACCATCTCCCATTCCATTGGGATCTTAAACCACATGTGATATGCTTCCTTGACTGATTAAGACAGATAAACAGAAACTACTGATTGCAAGTCAAAAAGGTAATGGGATTTTACAATTGAAGAGTTAGCAAAGATTAGTACCCTAAGGGAAGGGAAGAAAAAATTTTTCTAGATGAGCCTTGCAAGAAGCCTCAAACTATACAGGTTTCCCACAGGTAAGCAGCAAATAGAAAAATCTTCTATCTTGTCACATAAAAAAACCAAGCAAAGGAGCCACTGACCTGAGAACCTGAGGCCAAACTGAGGCCACTGTCTGCACTGATTTGGGATTTTTTCTCATCTGTTTCTCCCAAATCAAAATGTTTCACACCTTCTGGCCCTGTACAAAGGAAAAAGTAAATCATTATTTTATCAAGAAAAAACAGTACAGCAGAAGGCAGGTGACAGACTGAAAGCAGGAACAGTATCAAGAAAACAAATTTACATTCTCATTCTTGCATGTTTTTTGTTTTTTATTATTATTTCTTGGTACTGTTAACAAGAAGGCCAGCAGAACACATCTGCCATTCTTTGAATTTCAAATATTCCAAAGGCATAGCACAATGTGACTGTTATTTAACAGTACCTTTGTTAGTCACTCAAGAGAGAAAAGACAACATAGAAAGGTTAAATAGCTCCCAGTTACAATAACACATGCAGAGCAGTTGCCATTCAACTCTAGGAAGCCACTTCCTTAATTCTTGGAAAAAATAAAGGATACTTAATTGCTTGAAGTCACTATCCCTTTTAGAACAGCTAATTTGCTGAGTGCCTGCAATTCAGTTTGTTGGACAGACCGACTATTAAGGCAATAACGAGGCAACACATCACAAGAACATCATTAGTGATAATTGGTGTTACATCAGTAAGAATATCAAGGAAGAAGCTCGCATGATGCTGAACTTCATAACATGTGCCAATTATGTGACAAATGGCTCTCCAGAGTTGGCAATCACATAGGTCAGTAGTGAGAGAGAGAAACAACAAGCCTTAAGTCATGCATTCATAAACCCACCCAACTGAATAAACAAAATAAAACCATAACAATACAAAATAAAAAGACAGAGAGAACTTTGTGTTCTATTTCCCATGCAGCTCGGGAATCACATCATCTATTGTCCTTTGATGAGATGGCAGAAGGAAAAGAATGATGGACAGGTAGAGCCTGAAAAGAAATTTGGATAAGCACTGCATGAAGTAAGTAATGAGGCAGGAAAAGAATGTGTTATAGACTGTACACAAATTATCACTAGTCTCAGAAAAGGGAAGAGACTGCAACACCTCTGCCATATCCATATCTGCCAACTATTCAATAAAAGAAAGACATGATCAGCAGCTGGAATAGTTATATTACATATCCATGAATATATCCAGTATCTCTAACCAAGCAATGCCACAATCTCTTATAATCACTAATCACAACAACCTGGGAATCACGAACATGTCTGTATTATATGTAACATTAGAAAGGGCAAGACAGTGAAAAGGAAAGAAAAAGGCAAGGGAGGAGAGAGTGAGAGAGAAGGATAATATACAAAGATTTGTGGGAGTGAGCTTGAGATGGTATGTAAACTCATGAACAGCAAAGCCATAAGGGGGCTATGCAGACCATAGTAGCTTCCTACTCAAAAACAAACTGTCCATGTGAAATATTTTAGATAATTTTTCCTCATTTATTATAGTAGTCTGTCTGTAAAACCTTATGCCCTAGTTACTGCAAATTGAATTGTGAAAGACTAAGATCAAGGAAAAATTCAAAGCTGAAAAATAAACTAGAAACATCATTTACTGAATTTGGAATTTTATTTTCTATTGAAATATATATTATTCACTTCTAGAAGTCTATGTCCAGCCATTCAAACAACCAATGTTTCCCATCCTGAATAATGGCGCAGGAAAAGTTTTATATCTCATTAGCACAGTAGGAATACTAAACTTCAGCTGTATGCTCTAAGCAATGCAAACAGTTCCCTGTCCCAACACGTATTTCAGATGTACTTCTGGCAATTTGATCTTTAAAGCAGGTGAAACTGACTGATGCAGGTCAGGTGTTTGCCAGCTATGGGCAGTAACAGTAGCTGAGTTTAAGGAGTACAATAACCACAATCATGCTGTTATCACTGCCACTTTACAAGCACTTAGGAACTTCCCCTTCCCTTGTTCACAGAACTGTGTACCTATTTCACATTTAAATAACAACAAAAAAACCCACAAGCAAACAATTTATATCCTCCAACATTGAAACCTAACTGAAGGGCCCAACCTGGGAGAGTACATGTGTGCATGTGCTGTGCCTGCTGCACACACACTCCCAGAAAGCAATTCAAGTCTCCAATGTAGTACGTTGCAGCCGTGCCTCCACTTGCCCTTTTCACTCTAAACAAACCCCAGATGCTGCAAGCACTTAACTGAAGTTTAACTGGAGCACCTGAAACATAGGAAATCCAGCCCTACCACCCATGCATATTAGCTATTAATCTGCTCCAAACTTCAGTCTGCAAAAAGGGGCATTAGCTCTGCAAGGCAGATATTACACTCATAGTTAAAAAACACCTATCACATCATGGTTATTATAAATTATGTTTGTCCTTATGCCCTATGTCCCTATTTGTAACAGTGATAACCAAACCAGCAAAACCTGGTACCATAACTGCAGATAACACATATGCATATTTCAACAGATGTTAGCACTATTGTAGATTTAGACTGCTATTTAGATTCTGTAAACAGCCTCAGATAACTTTACTCCTCCTTTAATGTGGTGTATTGAAAAAAAAATTCTTGTTGATTCCTTATTATTAAGGAATTTAAGAGGATTTTCTCTTAGAGCCATCACTAAATACAATTCTTCACATACACCTTCTCTCTCCCCCTCTAAATTACTTCTTTGTCACAGACTGATTGTAGTCAGAAACTGTTCTTGGTTGAAGTCAGGTAACAACACTGGCCATCCCAGGATTTGAAAGGTCAAAGAATTTTTCATTGTAGTAATGTTCGATCAAACCATACATTCATGGCAAAGACCTGTTTAGCAAGAATGGTCTTTAAGCAACGAGTTGGAATGCTTTGAAATCCTTCAGTATACATCTGATACAGTGAGGACACAGAATAACAGAATATCTGCTTCCTCTACTTTTTTTTTTTTTTTTTTTTTTTTTTTTTTTTTTTTTTTTTTTTTTGTAGAAGGAAACATTCAGGGAAAGAAAAGAAATAAATTAAAAAAAGACAAGACATTTGAACAAAATTTCCCCAGAGCAAACTGATCTGTTTGGACTCCTCTATAAAGCAAGCTTTCCTGATGGACTTCGTCTTTTACCTAATTTTGTTTTGTGGGTATAAAAATTGTGTGCCATAGATGCAAGCTCACCCCGCATCTGGGGAGTTGGCAGTTATGGGGGAGGCTGTGGGAGTCAGTTTTCTATGTTTTATTATTTCCTTACTCGTTTTTTCCAAAGATTTTTGCTTTTTCATTTCCTGGTGCTTGTTCCACAATTCTACCCAAGATGCATTGAAAGCAGGAGAGAAAGAGAAATAGTCAGCAGCTAGTCAGACAGGTGAAAATGGGGACAAAACTTGAAACAAAAATCCCACCCTCTTCATCTCAGAAAAAAAAAATATAGAAATTTATGATAACTACTGGGTGCAGGGTTAGTTAACACCAATTTACAAGAAATCAACATTAGGGTATTTGAGAACTGTATCATCTCTCATTTACAGAAGTCAAAAGTTAGAGATGATTTCATACAGTGAATCAACTGTGCAAAAACAGCTATTATGAACACATACAATGCAATTCATTACCTTTCCTGAGAAAGGCCTTTAAGACTATCAGATATTTCATCTTCCAAAATGTAGGTATCACAATAGTTCTAATTAACAGCAATGTTTTTACGTTTCTAGCTTGTTTCATTGAAAGGAAAAGACACAAAAACAGCAGCAGCAATCCCAAGAAAACCTAAACTGTAGGTTAACACAATATTTAACCAAAATTATATATTGAAAATTATCACAAAGTTCACAAGTACAAGTTACTTCTGATCTGACAGTATTCTCAATAAATTCTTGGCTCTGCCTATAAAAAAGTCCTACATTACAATGAAGAACTTTTCTTCATCCATTTCTTCACATTACGTTATGAAGAAAGGAAATCAGAGAAGAAGAATAAGCATGATAAAAATCAAGCTTAACATCAACTTTCCAAATTCTACTGAGGTCACAGCAGTCCAAGCCAAAAGATTCCATAAGAAGACAAAATACAAAGATAAAGGAAAAAAATCTGGAGTCTGCATGCACTTCTTTCATTTGAAGCTTAACCCTAAGAAAAATTAGTAATGAAACACTTGCACCCTTCCAGCACTTGCACTCTCCAGCTCTCTGAAATGCACTCATCTGCTCAGAGAAATCACATAATTTCAGGTGCTCGCCCACTGGCAAAGGAAACACTACAAGCTGGCATGTTGAATTAAGCCTGAATGCAAGCAGGGTTAAAGCTAGAACTGCTACAGGGGCAGATAACTCCCAGATAAGTCACAAAGGGAAGGAAAAAGCAGCATGATATTCTTCAGCTGCTCTTCAAGGAAACTTCCTGAGCCTAAGAAGCGACTGAAGGCACGTCAGGAATCCATTCCACTCTGCAGACGAGCAAAATTAAGGCAAAACAGCCTCTAAAAACGTCTATTTAGAAAAATATCTACTGAAAATAATTAAAAAAACCCATGGTTTTATAGGCGTGGAGGAAGGCTTCAGACTATCATTAAATGTTGTCAGGAGTATGGTAACTTCAGCAAGGGAGAAGAAATAGAAAGATGCCTGCTAGCTGATTGATATCTACATCTGCTTCATGATTGATGGATATTCCTTCAACTTTCATAATCACACAGATGAATGAGAAAATTATAGATCCAAACAGCATCCTATAGGCATACCTAGCTGAATATACAGTGAGTTCTGGCTTTTTGAATTCTCAGACTATGTGGTTTTATGCTAAAAACCACCAGGCTGATAGCTATGATACTTAGCAATAAAAAATTTAGCTGATTTGCCTGTTAATCCATCATTAGAATTACTCTGTTTCAAAGTTTAATCTACGTCATAGGAATGTTTGAAAGTCTATACTGAATCTTAGCGTATTAAAGACAGCATTTTCCTCTCACCTGCTCTGTAAAAGAGAAGAAAAACACCACAAACTTATAGGATATAGAATACTACATCTATGGCTGTTAAACAAGCCCAAACAAAACAGGACAGCAGAAGAATTTAATGCTGACAACAACATTTTCTGTTTCAAAAAATTGTCAATATCAAGTGATGTGAAAGTATCAAATAATTATTTAAAAGTAGTAATGGAAACTTATTAATATTAGTAGTATTAATTAATATTAATATTAGTAAATATTGAAACTTCCAATGTTTAAAACAAGCATGCAGTAAAACCAAACCTACCACTAACATAAAGGGGGCAACCACTGGCTCTCAAACTTAAGGCCACCAGTGTCCAAATAAAAAGTTCAACACTATGGTGATGACCAAAGAACCCTGGAAGCAAGCAAATAACTGGTGATCTCTTTGGAAAGGATCAGAAACACCATATTCACAACAAATTTCTTAACTAAGCAATTAGACACTGAAGAAAAGCAAAGAACTGGTCTTCAAATGACAAAATTTGTCACTGTTTCCCTCAAAAATAAGAATATTGAATACCAATAGCCTTTACCATTTATAATGGAGCATCCTATACACTTCCATTGTGTACAACTGGCCAGGACCTTGCTGAAAAATAAATAAGAAAAGGGGCTTGAGCAGGAACAGATTTTCACCCTGAACTTCTGAAAACACAGTGAACCTCCTGACCATGGTTTCCGTAGTACAAAAAAGCTACACAGATTTAGCTACTGTAATCCTAGATCCCTGAGACCTAGCTTAACTGCCACATTAACACTTACTGTATGCACAGTTACTGCAGCTAGTGTTATGCATAAGTTTATTCTATCAAGCTGATCACATACTTCTCTTTCTGTTATTTCCTCCTTCAGACTAGGTCGAAAGAGCAACAACCCTAACTTGCATTTTGTCCACACAATACCAACAGATTCATTGAGAACTTCAGCTCTGTATTTACAACCTGAGACTGTAAATGAATAAATAAAGGCTTCCTGTATCAAGGAACTGCCAAGGTTGGGAGGAACACTTGGAGATCATCTAGTAGAACATTCCTACTCAAAGCAAGACCGAAACAACAGCAGGATGCTCAGGACTACTGCTATCTCAGCAAAGTGTAAATGTTTACCAGATGTTTCCTCCCTGAACAAGCTAGTTTGACTGAAGAAAGCCTGCATTTCATTCCAGAAATAATTCAGTCTAGCCACGACCAACTCTGGTTCTGAACATCCAAAGTGTTAGCTCACACAGAAGCTTTCTTAAACAAAAAGCCAAACAGCTTTAAATGATTTACTGGAACACAAGAGGAATTTCTTTTACTTCCAGATCCCAAGAGGCAGATGAACATAGATGTTACCTTTTTTTTACAGAAATTAAGATTGATTTGCATACTCTTTCATGGTCCTCAGTAACAGATAAAACCAGTTAGATAAGAACGCATCAGAAAAAAAAAATGAGAAACTCTGATCAGATTTGGTGAAACTGTACTTTTCTTGTAGCCTAATTTCATAGAAGAAAAGTGGAAATCATCAGAGCATCAGAACCACCATAAGGAATTATAAGTCACCTGTTCTAGAACACTAAACTGCTTAGGCGAATATTCTAGCAACAGCATTATCAGAACATACAAAGTAATACTTCTTTTGCAAAGGAATTCCTATAACGCTTCATAAACATGAACTGTCTGGTCCCTATGATTTCTGCTTCTATGAAGTTTTAACCTCATCTGAAAGAAAGCAGAAGTCTGAGCAAGCCAATCTAAAATCTCTTCATTCTTGAGAAGAATGGTGGCCTACAGACTGTTTTATTCTTAATGAAATAAGAAGCATTCCTCCTTTTAACTATTCTACTGAAAAGAAATTCAGTCAAGTTCCCCAGAGTAAACCAAATTGAAATGCTGGAAATTTTAATCTTATAGCTTCATAATAGATTTCCAAATACAGCCTAAGACTGGTTTCTGAGCTTTTGCCTCCTTAGATTACCTCTTGAAACAAGAAGGCAAACCAAATCAGAGGCGATCAGTATCAGTTCAGGATGATTTAACAGCAGATAGTCTGCAATTGTAGGTATACTTAAAGTACATAAAGTTAAGAAAATGTCTGCACCCTTTCTGCCAAATAACTATCCAATACACACATTCCCTTATTTTGTGTCATTTACTGGAAGTACAACCTCCCAGGAGAACACTGCTTTCAGAAAATTAATCTTTCATAGAATGAAAAATGAAATGAAATTTTAAATGAAAATTCAGAAGTTATTTTAAACAGGCTATAAGCAAGGCTAAAGTGTATCATGATATTTTTTGAGTCAGTGAAGGATTTTCCTCACATGTTGATGGTACACCTACCTATTTTGCTTTCAATCCACAGAAGGTTGGCTCCAACCTGAATATTTTGTTCTTTTTTTTTTTCTTTCCTTTTTTTCTTTTAATGTATAAAAAGCCCTTTTAGCTAAAACAATCTAAAGTTCACCTTTTTTTCCCAGATATAGGCAAAAACTCTTATGCCATAGGTGGGATAGTAGGAAAATTTCTACTGAACAGCCTAGCAGATGCTGTTTAGAAGGACAGGCATTCTATTTGATGTTGCATAGAAGGAAGATCCATCAGTCTTGCTCACTGAAACTGTAACACTACAATTTAAACCTTTTGGCAGTTTTAATTATTCAACAGATAGGGGAGAGATCCTGAGTCCCAATTCTATCAAGACGCCATCTAAATAATATAGATTAAGTCAGCAATAATTACAAAACTTCCGTTTCATGTGGTCTCTTCCACTGTAGCCCTTTCCAAAGTCCCCTGCTCATTTCCCTTTTTGCCATTTTCTGCTACTTAAAAACATAAATCACAGCAAAAGTGAAGGTTGTCTGAAGTGCAATGATATTCGGAAACAATTAAGGTTAGAAAGCTCCTGGAGGAAACTGTCCTGGATAATTTATCCAAGAGCGAGTGAAAACACTTATGATTATTCCTTGGTATCCATGGTGTAAATGAGGCATGTTACAGCAGCAAATGTATTGTGTTAAAATGGAGACAATGCAAATAGAACCTAATGCCAAAATAGAAGCCCCTCCTGCACTTCACATGCATTTTAATACACACCAATGGAAGCAATAAAATTTTCTTCCTTTAGACTCCTTGTATCAAATTCTCTTAGCCCTTTCCCTGCAGGGCTTGGTGCCTTCGGCATCAGCTGTGGTACTGGCAGCTGCATGGCAGGTTTCGGCTCCACTCTTGGAGATGATGCAGGATCTTTGCCAACTGGAGTGACAGAACCATCTGTTGGGCTTCGTTTTCTCTTTTCTGGTTCTTTAAAGAGAAAGAACAAAGTGTTACCAAAAAAAAAAACACAAACAAAAAGCACCTACACACACAAAAAAAACAAACAAAAAAACCAACATTAAAAAAAAAACAACGCCCCCAAGCAAACAAAAAAACAACTAACGAAGAAAAAAGGACCAAAAAACAAAGTAAAAGGAAAAAGGAAATGAGAACAGGCCTCATCTATCATTGTGTAAGACTTTGAACAACCATTTGTCGCCAAAGGCGGTTTGGATTATTTCTCTGTATCAAACTGCAGCAAAACTTTCACAACAGGATAATTAAAATTAGGCTTCCAGTGAATAACCCTGTGCACTCTTGCACAAACTGTTCCAGTAGCTGATGAAGCTTAGAATAAAAATTTCATATCCAGATGTCTAAATCTATCATACCACAGGCTTCATAATACCGTTGACTGTTTCATTGCCTCCTACGGTACTGAACTAAACCAGGCCAGGTCCAAATAACTGCATGTACACCAGTTGACCAGTACATTAAAGATTCTGCTTATAGCAATACTTTTCTATACAGATAATTACAGAAAATGATCAACATCTAACATGCAACAGACGACACTTGTTTGAGAGAAAAGGTGTTCCTCCAATTCTACGTAGGTCTTTTCAGAAACCTCTTAAATTTTCCAGGTGTGATGATCACAACTGGAAGCACCACACCGCCCACTCTTTGTTACTGACTTACCTCTGCAACCCAAACACATATTCCAAGGCGTACATGCCTCCTTCTCCATGCCTCTCCCAGTTTTCATAGATAAACACTGGAAAGTTCATACTTAACTTGCTACCTTCAGAGAGACTGCTTCTTAAGACACAGTTTCCTATCCTTTTTTCATTGTCAGATTTTCTGCTTTCTACATACAAGGCCTTAGTTTGATCAGATTAAAATAAATTAATCACAATTCTGCTTTACTAACATTCAGATTCCTCTAGATAAATAATCTATATCCATCATGTACTGTTCCAACAGTCTATACCATATGCCAAAATTGAACAATCTTAGAATTCATCAATTATCACTATATATTAAATGACATTAAGATGAGCCCTCTCCTCTACAGATCGTATCTAGTAATATATCTAGATAAACCCATTGAAATCAGACAGTAAATACTGAATAGCTAAAATCTGATTATAAATCAAGATGTCGTGCAAAAACAAGAAAAGCCCTTTAAAGATTTATCAAGGCTTCAAAAGTTTGTATCCATAAATTTTGTCATTTGTGATCACAGTTAAATAAACAGATAAACTCTACTTACCATCAAAACGTGGTGCCTGCATTTTATAAGCATGACTTCACATATGAACCACTGAGTTTTACGTCAACAATTTCATAATTTTGTTTAGAACTGGTGTCAGGTTTAATAATTACCAAGATCCCCACATTTTGAACTGGTATGCCAGCTCAACTTTCCTTTCTTACCTTCTTCAGCAGTCTAACAGTGATTGGCAAAGAACATTTTGAGTCCACAGGACATCAAAGCCAACTCACAAAATCCCTGATGCAAGCAATCCAGAAGCCAACTGTAATGTTAAGTAGTTACTTCTCTGCTACAGTGAAATAGCTATAATCTCAGACAGTGAAAAGCTGAGTCAGTTATAAAGCAGAGAGGTGGCATTTTGTCATCTTTTGCTCATTTCCCTTACGCATGAATTTTCTTACTTTGCATTAAGAACCAGATTTCAAGAAAAAGTGAAAAATCAAGGAGGTATTACCTAAAATAGACTTTGTCTTCCAAGATCACCTAGCAATACAAGAACCACTGGTAACACACAGGAAACATTTGTCTTACCTTTGTTGTAATAGTGAGTATGCGCTATTTCTAGAAGGCCAAAAACACTGGCCATGCCTCCCAGGCCAGCATTCGCATATGACTGCTCCAGGCTCAACACAGTACACTTTAGCAAGTCCAGCATGCCTTTATAAACTTTGCGGCTGATCTCCTGTAACAAAAATCCAATTAGTGTCAATATTTCTCAAGTAAGAAAGTCATTCAGGAGCACAAACTCCAAAACCGCTGTAATATCAGCCTGTAAGATGCAATTTCACAAAAATCTTCCATGAACTGAATGTAAGCATAAACTACATATGAGAACCCTTCTGAATTTAGCACTGACCACATCCTGTATGATATCCTGCTGAGCATCTTCTTCCGACTGGATCGTGCGATTTAGCTTGCTTAATACAAAGACACGGAGCTGCTCACTCTCCAGGAGGCGTCGGACTCTCTTCATGTTCAGCCAGCCAACACCTTGCCCATCGAGAACATTGTGTATCACCTCCTTCAGGAATTGCTGGTTCTCACTGATGGATTTAGAAAGGAAATGAGGTGGCAAGAGTTAGTCTGCTTTTTATCTTGACCAGGACACACATAAATTCATTTCCAAACAAACCTAAGTTCACAAAAACCTCAAATCTTGCTAGATTTTCTGCTAACAACTGCACTGTTCTATAGCTGTAGCATCAAACATTTTTGTTTGTCTGTTCCTTATTTTCTGTCACAAGCTGTAATCAGGTCTTTCTCGAGTCCACGTAGCTACTGCTGTACTATCCACCTTCACAGCACAGCTCAGATCCATGTGAAGTCTATAAACTGCAACCTTCTCCCATGGCTACTGTAGATCTGTAGATTTTCCTTGTACTCACAGCACTAGTGCAGCAGCCTTGGTGTACATACTGCTTCAGCTTTTTTTTTTACCTTGGGGGAAGGAAAGGTAAAAAGAAGACAACTCCTCTGCAGTCTGCTGCATCCCAGTCTGAATCACAGTTTTTTGTCTCCCATCCCCATTAGCTCAAAGTAAATTTCAGTCTATATACGGCTGCCAGGGAAGAAGGGAGGAGAAAGAAGCACAGGTGAGGTAATGTTTAATTACCTCTTCAAGTCCCTTTCCAATGTTGAAAAATGTTTTTTTTGTGAACTCACAAAAGCAAACTGCTTTACCTATTCAGCTGATCCTCTAAACTGATTCACTAAACTTCTGCTGGCTAGAATGTTGAGAGTAAACTCAATTAAAAGATTACTGACTTAAAGCAGGATCTTTCATGATGTAGAATATTTTAGATCTCAGACAGAAAGAGGAAACTTTTTAAAGGGCAGAAAAATACACATATGTGCTAGTAACTCAAAGGCCATTTGTACAAAATCTTCTCAGACAATGCATACAGGCTTAGGGCTATAGAAAAATACAGTGTTGTTCTCAATAGCCACAGATCTAAGGATATGATGGCCACTCCAACACCACCACTTCATGGAAAAAAAAAAAAGAAGAAAAAAAAAAAAGCAACCAAAAATATTACCTGGAATTACTACTTCGCCCCTGCGGGGATGGAGATTCTCTCTTCACTGTTGGGCTATGCTTAATGACTGAAGACTTTTGATCCACCAGGGCTCGCCTGTTTCCTAAACAGGAATGGAAACAGTATGAGAAGAAACGGGTGGAGGAAAACAGTCTGCTGCCAGGACAGCAACAAGCAATACTAAGGTTAGCTAACACACTTATTCAGATTACAGGTAACAAACTTCAAACAAAATGGAAACTCCAAAAAAGCAGCAGCATATATCATATTCTAGCATCACACATCGGCAGAAAACAGTAATGGGAGTAATGCAGAGAGAAAAAGAGAAGATGGTAATGGGAGCAGAAGGTGAAAGGCAGGAAAATTCTGGCTGCTCTGCATGCAGTTTGACAACAAGAATCGTCTTCAAATTAGTCACTGTATGTAAAAGCATAATGCATCAGGGGTGACTAGTATAGATCATATGATACTGGTTACCCAATGAGGAAAGGTAGCCCAAAGTCAGGCATAGGGGATGCTGGAAATTGTCACATCATGCACAGCTCATGCTGTAGGGAACCCACCTTCATTGCTTACTGGGCCAGCTTCAGTAATAATCTCCATTATAGTATTTAACCCAAATACTGGGACACAAAATATACAATTAGTAGTGTACTACATATCTGCGCTCCCCACCATCAGCATAAAAAATAATAAATCCAGCTACCAGCTTCTTCCCAACCCTCCCTCAAAACAAAACCCAAACGATACTATAGCAGGTAGGATGTTTGAAAGCCCAAGACAACAAGGGCCGCTGTAATTTCTCTAACAGATACTGCTTAACTTGAAATTCAGCATTATCGAACCACTGTACTGCATCTTCATGGACACTATTGCACATATTGAATTTCAAGGGCACTACCAAAAACAACTGCATCACTGAGGAAAAACAATGGAGATGGATGTGCATGGAATAAAAATTAAAGAAGGAGGATGGAAAGTGATCAACCAGCAGCAATGAGATGGAGTCCCAGCATCATTTCCCATTACAAACACAGAGCAACACACACACTTGGTGAGAACGAGTTAGCAAGGTAACTTTATGCCTGCACAACAGAGATAAGAACATTTAAAAACCAGAGAAGTGCTCAGTGGAAGTCCCAATGAGCCAGCATGCACACACAAATGAACACAAATGCACACACACACTTGCACATGCACAAAAGAGACTGAGCTACTCCACGGATATCCCATCCTCACATCTGCACAGAAACATTGAAGATCCTGCACAATTACATTCATCAAGAAAAGAACACCAAAGTGCAGAAGATGAGGTGCAAAGCACAAACACGAAATGGCAAACCCCATCACTGTTTTCTTCCAATGCATGGAATCAGTCATTAAGTTTACCCCTGAATAAAACCCTGATATGAAGTATGTTTCTTATCCTGCACAATTGGATATGAAAACGTAACTAACTGGTAAAAGGTTGTCAAAAACAGCTGTGCAGAATCTCTGCTAGTGTTTTTACCATACCAGTGCTGTTCCTCCTCATTTAACACACAGGGAATGATTACTTGTCTCAAAAACAAAGTCCAAAGCAGAAACACAGAAACAGCTTTTGGCCTTTGTTTCTACAAGGTCAGAGGTCAGCAAAACATCATACCAACCTTCATTCACATCCCTTCCCACTTCCAGATTAAAGTAATCTTTACCGATGAAATGATGAGGAGGAAAAAATAAATAAATAAAATCAACATATTAAAACAAAAGCAGCAAGTTCTAATCAGATAGAATAACTCAAAAGGTAAAGTAAAATCTTCCTTGGTTTAGCAACTGCTATCATGACAACCAGGCTGTTCAATTCCTTAGGGTAAGAGTCCCTATTTCTCTAGTCCCTACTCACATGTTATTACATAACATAGCAGACAAACAAGAGAAGTTCCAATAACAAGACTGCGCACCTAAGTTAGGAATGGGTCTTTACTCTGAATGAGCTGAAATATATTTATATTTTGGGTTTGATTGGAAAGTTTCCATATAGTGAACTGAAAGTACCAGAACTATTTAAACCTTTGTAAACTGCAGTCTCCACAGGAGGAAGGCATTATTCCTTCAGCAGTCTCCATGGGAGAAAGGGACTATTCCTTCTTACAAACAGAATATCACTGCTCTAACAGGTTACCTAAAGCAGTGGCAGTACAAAAGTAGAACCTACCTCTTTGTTCCCATTCCTTACACTAAAGACATAAATATTAAATAAAACAAAATACAAAACAAAACCAACATTCACAGTGTACCTATTAACACAAGGTAGGCTAGCTAGTCTCCCACCCTGATGCAGCTCAGTTGCTGAGAAGAAGTCTGACTAAGAAATATCAAGACAATTTTTGTCTTGATAATTAAAGCAGGTACTAACCCAAAGTACCAAAATACTTCACCACCAATGTTCCTTCTAGGGATTGCAGAGTCACAATAAAGGCTACAGAAGACAAAGGGAAAAATGGTTACCTTTCAGGCTGGGAAAGGGGGTATTCTTGTCTCTCCCAACTTTGGTTGGCAGGGCTAAATTGGACAGACTGAAACTTGTGCTGTGGTTTCTGTACAGGCTGCCTATGACAAAAGAAAAAAGAAAAAAAAAAACCAAAAAAATCAACAAAACAACAATTACACCCAATGACAGAACTGCAGGGCTTGGAAAGGACCTCAAGAGATCATTGAGTCCAACCTCCCTGCTAAAGCAGGTTCCCTACAATAGTTCTCACAGGTTCACACCCAGATGGGTCTTGAATATCTCCATAGGATACTCTACAATCTCTCTAGGCAGCCTGTTCCAGTGCTCCATCACCTGAACCATAAAGAAATTCTTCCTCATTTTAGTACTGAACTTCATACATTCGAGTTTTAGGCCAATACTCCTCCCATCACTACACACCACCAAGATTAGCCTGACCTCATCCATTTGCATCCCACCTCCCTTTAGATATTTATAAACATTTATTACATTTTCTCTTAGACTTCTCTTCCGAAGGCTGAGCAGACCCAGGTTACTCAGCCTTTCTTTACCAAACACCTAATGTTCTCTGCACATATCCATACTTCCTAAATTTCCTGTAATTCATCTTCTTATTGAAAGCATGAACTTTTTTTTTTTTAATTTTTTTATTTTTTATTTTTTTAAGTCCACAGAACTGACAAGTATAATATAATTTCATTTACAACACAACCACATCTGTATTCTGACTATTCTAAATTGTTTAAAAGGTAATTCTTAGCTCTCAAGTTACAATCATTGTCATTGTGTTTTTGAGTCTTAAACGTACCAGCAGTGTCAATCTGTTTTCCTGCCATTATACAGGTAACTCCACATCAACTGTCTTCTAGTTTGATACTACTTTTAAGGAGCAAATAAGTGGTGGGGGTCACATGAGAAAATAGTATGACAAAAGATCTCTAAAATCCACAGTCCCAAAGTCAGAAGAGTGCACAGAGCCTTCTGAAATTCTGCAACTCTGACCCCAAAGCACACTTTAAAATAGAAGCTTCCATTTATGAGAAAGCAAAGCTTTCTGTAGCACCAAAAGATTTCTAACAACATAAAGAGTGCAACGATGCTCTGTCATCTGTTTGAGTCTGTAGACATCCTGAAAGGAACTTGAATAGAGATCCTCCTCATATAGAAAACCTCAACATGTTCATCTAAATTGTCAGTGCACTATTTCAACTTATCCTTATTCCCCCCTAATCCAGCTTTATTTTAGTAACAATCTTTTTAGTAGAAACATCAAATACAATTTTCCCAGAGCTACTAACTTCTTGTCCCTCCCCCACAACAGCTGACTATTTATCTGGTTATATCTTCTTTCACACACTAAAATACTCTACATCAGCTTTCCATAACTGTGGATATTATTTTTTAAATTTATTCAATAATTTAATTGAAAGTAAGAGAGCACAGTGAAGAAATTTAATGTCAGACCTAAACAAGTGAAGTGGTAGCATGAGAAGCATACTGATGGTTAACGCTCTTGTACCAGTTTCATAAAAATCACAGTTTTTATTTAAATGAAATGGACAGAATTTCTGATTTGTGGTCCAAAGTGCCATATAACTCAAGGGCCTAATGACACAACCAAAGTCCTTAGCGAAAAATTCATAAAGCAGTAGTTATCAGCAGTGTAAATAAAACAGGTCCTGTGACTCTCAACACAAGTTCTGGAGACCTGGTAACAATCCGACAACCAAGTCTTCCCCTTGGCTAACCACCTCTCTGTAAGATCTGATAAATTAAAACAGTTTAATGAATGCTTGAGTACATACTTGCAAAAGACATGATGCCCCCAAAACCTTCACTGCTGTTGTTGGAAACAGTAGAGTTTGGAGAGCTGGCCCTGGAGTCTGAATCTGCATCAGAATCATTGGCCAGTTTTAAACTGTTCGGACGAAGTAACTTCTGAGACCTTTGAAGAAAAATGTACAGGTGTTATTAACATTTTTTTTCCCAAAAGCTTATATGACCGTGGGAGGCTGATGCTGGTCTTGTTTTTAGCCTGTTTTTACCACACTATCCTTCCCTTGTGGGAAATAAAATAGAAAAAGAAAAAAAAAAAAGAAAAGAAAAGGAAAAAAAGTAGAGATGCATCTTTGCATTAAGGCCTTTATTACCTTTTAAGACATGCTGCAAATTTGTCTGCAACACTACATTTGTGGACTTAGGGGTGGAAAAAATACTTCTGCTTTGAGAGCAACAAAGGAAAAAAACCCAATATCATAAAAAAACGTTTAATTCCCCTCACACATCACCCCTGAAATAGCAAGCTTCACAACCAAAATCCCTTAAAGATGTCGAGAAATCAGTAGATCATGCACTAGAATGCTTCAATGAAGAACTGATAATTCTGTTATCTTCCACTACTTCAATAAAATGTTAAACTATATGAAGCAGATGGGAACCCCAAGACAGCTGTACAAAACAACAGGAGGGCAGGGAGAACTCACCTGCTTCCATTGAGATTCTGGTTAAATCTTGGGGTGTAGCTCTCTTCCTGCTCATCATCTTCATCCTCTGTAGGAAAACCATACTGTGGTTCGAAGTATGGATTATCATACTCTCGTTTCCTCACCACCCCTTCTGAGGAGCTCATGCTGACAGCTGGGCTGTCACTCTCACGACGATCAAAGCTCATCTTGGGAAAGCTTGGTTGTAGTGGCAAAGAAGGGAGATGGTTTGAAAATCCAGCAACTAGCTTCTCCTCCATCTCTGCTGAATCTGCAGACTCCTGTGGACCAGTCAAATTATTCATCTGTTTGCTAATCTGAATTACTTATAACTGAAGGGCCTGACAAGAGCAACTGTTATAAACTGGGAATTCTGCAGGGTCTTAGCAGTTTCTGGGCCCCCACCCAAATCAGTTGTTCTAATTTAGATCTGTAGAAAAGTTGCAGCATTTATGCATTGTTCTAGAAGCTTTCTTCCCTGCAAAACAGATCTTACTATTAAGTGCTAGGATAACAGCTCCCTATTGCTCTGCTTTGTGGTTACAGAATCCATTCCTCCCATACTTCCTAAATGAACACAGATTGAAGATTTTCCCCATCCCATTCCCCTACAACAGATCTTTCCATACTGTGTAGAAGTCACTCCTGCAGTCACAACCTGGACCACTGCTCTCTGTTAATAATGTACTTTAATGCAAGTGAGCTTTTACACACAGGAATGTTCTGTCTCAGCATAAGAGACTACTTTGCTTGGAGTCCAGAAAGTGCATGCAATTTAATTTCTGAATGTTTTCAGTCTGATCAGCTTTTGCCCCACTCAGAAAGAACTATTCTCCCACTCTTTATATCCTAATTCTCTCAACTTGGGGCTGAATTCATCTCAGTACACACATGGTTCACTCCGTGGATGACAGTACTGGGGCTGCTACTGGCTGTAGTACTGGAACTTGAACGAGGCTGGTTGTTCTCTTGGGAGTTCTCACTGTCCATGGCCTGTTCATCCAGATCTCCTGAATATTCTTGAAAATCATCAAACTCCACTTCACTGGCATCACCAAGGGCTGCGTGAGTCAGGGGGTCAACATCTGCAAATACATCATTTTGCATTAAAGAATACTGCCTTCCTCAGCCTTCTGTCCATCTGACTGAAAATCCCTAACAGATCTGCTCAGCAGAATACAGAAGCACATAGAAAGGTTGTAAGGCACTTTTGGAAGACATTTAATCCAACTGGCTACTCAAAGTTGGGCTAACTTTAAAGTTAAAACAGGCTGCCCAGGGCCTTTTCTTATTGAGTTTCCAATGTCTCCAAGGCTTGAATAATCCCCTTTGATTCTGGGGATCTGTTCACAATGGGAACCTTTTCTTACAGTCAGGCAGAATTTCCTTTGTTACAAAATATGACTGTTACCTCTTGTCCTTGGGCAAAGGAAACATGCTGGCATTCATGTTTTTGGTTTATAAAAGTAATAATCTCCCAGCCTCAAACACTGCTGCTGCCGCCTCCATATAAACCAAAGAGAATGCATTTTCCTGTCCCCACTAAAATGAAGTGACTCATTAAAGTCAGCTCTGAGGACCAAAAAGTGGGGGCAGAAGAAAGCTTGTAATCTGCAGCCCATATTGCACCTTTTCTACTGGCAGCACATTTCCAAATCTAGTCAGTGGGTTTTGTTCAGCAGCACCTACTTCTGATCTTTCTCCTCCCATGTCTTTTAGAGGGGATTGCATATAAGCCAAAGAAATGTCTTCCTTCAGTCTGCTACTGGTAATTGACTCCCTTACCTCAGAGCAATATTATAGCAGAACAATGTTTTGCTCTGATTGAGACACTTGGGGAGGCATTTCCCCACTGTCACAGCACAGGTGAACGTGGAAGAGGAACCTATGTGGATCTCGTGAAAATGCAGCCCCAAGTTACTCACTTGGAGTATCGCCATTAATGTCACATTTCATCATCTCGCTGACAAAGTCACCAAGTGAAGAGTAGGAGGAACTTGAGTCATCGTAGTCGACACTGTCACTGCCACTGCCACAACAGGTGAGAAAAAGATGAGTGGTAGCAGAACAGCAATAGCACCTTAAAAATCTGATGATATAACCACTTCTATTTAAAAAAAAACAAACTCTGGCAAGGTTAAGGGGCCAGCTTCATGAAAAGTCAGAGCAAATGACAAACATTTGAGACAGGTGAAGAGGCAATACGGGAAGACATTTAAAAGCTTTCAGCAAGGGGTTAATGAGATCAAGCATAGGTGGACAGGGAGTAGATACAAATTCTCAGCGAGTGTCAGGAGGGGAGGAAGCTTCAAGACAACTGGAAATCAAAAGAAAAGCACTTCTTTTTAATACTAACAATAATTTCCAACATGAGGACTACTGGTGCTGTGTAGAACATAAAAGAAAAACAAGTACAAGCCTGGAAGACCTCACAGGCTAAAAGAGAAGTAAGGATGATAAAACTTGATGCAAACCTCTGAGATACAAGGCCAAAAACACATCAACAAAAAATTATTCTCACTTTACTGAATGTATAAGGTCTCAGGCAGTGGGGAGTATTAGCAAGCTTTGCATAACTATGTGCTTCAGTTAGAGATATGAAAGAGTGGTAGGATGAGTGGGATTGCTTGAAGTACAGAAAAAAGTAACCAGAGAAAGAACAGCACAGAAGAAAAGAAAGAAGAAAACATCAGAGAGAGAAGTAATACCAAATGAAAAAGGGGCATAGGAAGCAAAAAAAAACAAAACAGGAAAGTACAAATAAAGATTCATGTCAAATGAAGGCTTGAGAAGATATTAGCAAAGAGATAAGAAGCTGCTGCAATGATGACAAAGCAGTGAGACAATTTAATTCAATATCAGTATTCTGACCAGACAGAAGAAATTAAACAAAAGCATGGAAGGCTAGAGGAAAAGGTAGCAAATGAGATGCTGGAGAGAAGGCCCAGAATAATCTGAAGTAATTGTCAGGTGGCAAGAGTTATGCCCCCCCACTAACCTGTCATCGGTGGGATCAGAGTCTGTTTCTTTTTCTACTGGGACATTCAGTGCTTCAGCTAGTTGTGAATTACTGTCATAGACACGATAGTGGATGGGCTGCAGTTGGTGAGCATACCACTTCGGTTTGTCACCGATCAGTGCTGGGTCAAACATATCTGCACCAAAAGCAAATAAACAAGGAGAAAATTAACTGAACTCATTTATTTGTGTCAAAGGCTTCATTAGTAGTGAAGCTATCCCTTACTAAGTCTTGCACAAAACAGAACAGTCATCTTTAAAAAAAAAACAACAACAACAAAAAACAACTACAAGAGTTCTTCTCCGCTAGCAAAAAAGAAATAAAGTTATCTGGAGAAGTAAATGGCATTAAAATAGATAAAATAGAAAATTATTTCTTGAACTGGATATCTCTACCCAGAATGAATGCCACACTGGAACAGGTTCCCCAGGAACCTGTTGGAGTTCAGAAAGTGTTGGGACAGTGCACTCAGACACATGGTTTCATATGGTCCTGTGTGAAATCAGGAACTGGACTTCATTAGCTTCATATGTCCCTTCCAACCCAGGATAGTCTGATTCTATGAATAATATGGTATTAAGCTAAGTTTGACCCCAGAATCTATCTGCATTTCAAGTTTCTGAAAAACATCAGAAGTGCAGGAAAGGGAAAACCAAAACTTACTGTTATGAATTCTCTGAAAAGCATAGTTAGTAGGGTTGAGCGACCATTCTCCAAAATATTCTACTGCTTGTGTCCTGGAAAGTTTATCTGCAAAAGGTGTTTGCTTTGGCCTAGAGGCAAGAAAGGAATTTGCCTGGAAGGCCACTACTGGTCGTGGAAAAAGACGAAGAGTGCGAGTATGCATCTGGAATCCTTGCAGAACATTTGGTGAGTTGAAGAATCTCACCATAGCAACCCTAAAAAGAGGCAAAGGACACATGTCAGATAAAAACACAGAGCTCAACAGAAGACAGAGAACCTTTTAAAGGTATGTACTAGGCGAAGTTTCAAATCTGTGAAGTAACGTAGTGCAAGAAGCTGTCTTCTTAAAAAACTTAATAAACCAATCAGTCACTTGGTTTTCATTTACCTGCTCAATACCAAGAGCCACCAAGAGCCATGACAGACATTGCTCTCAGTCCTGTGCTGCCTTCAAGTGCAAGCTTGATGAACTCAATACCACTTTCCATTTCAGTCTCACCTGGTAGCTACATCCACAGAGTCCACATCATTTCCATAGATCAGAGGGTTGAATTCTGTGGAGGGAGTAGACTGCAAATCATTCTGTGGTCTTCCCAGCAGCAGCGGCACCTCCTGCCCTTCGTGGAACTTCTCTAGATTAAGAATGGGCTGAGTATTCAGACTCATGCTAGCCAGTGCCTAGCAAAGGACAACATTAGGCACATATTCAGCAAGAAGTTATTTGAGAAACAAAAGATTAGAGCTACCCTCTAGGCAATCACAACAATTGTTCACACTCCAATAATTTGCCTTAAATCATCTCTTCTACACTGAGTCAAGAAATACCTCCAGGCCCTCCTTTATGTGGACTGTCCAAATGATCTCCTCAATAATGAAAACGCATGAGTGTTAACATGGAAGTCTGCTTCTCTAGACCATCCATGACATGAAAAAAATAATCCACATCTGACCTCTAGTTGTATGACAAACCATACAATATATAGGAGGGTTATGCCTGTGTGCATTTAGAACACACACACAGAGATCTAGATCCCTTAAAACTTGCCTTGCAACTTGGCGGTTCAGTCAGTGAGTTTGACAACCCACGACAGCACGCAGACAGCCAGCACACAGGTATCTATCTTCCAGCCTGTCTGCAAACTACATTTCTTTTCTGAATAATGTCTTCATCTCTCCATAAAGCAGTCATCCTCTTCAACCCTCATAATATCCTCAGGAAAATGCACAGGAGTGGCATGACTAGTAAGTCAGTCCTTAATACCCAGATCCAACCTAAATCTCCCTCATTTCTCTCATTTGCCAACTGAGTCTTCACCAGTTTAATCTCAAAAATAAACAAACAAATAAAGTAAAACAAAAAGACCAAAGTAAAAGGGTAAAATGGAAAACCGGGGGGAAAGAATAAAATAAAGAACCTTGTTGTCAGGAGTGAGCAGCTGTTGCTGAGTGATTGCAGTCATGCTAACCAGAGACTGGAGGCAAGATGGAAGATCATATGATAACACCAGCAGCCCATCAGAGCCAAGACGAACACATGACCACAGAGAAACAGATGGAGGGAAAAAAAAATAATCTATTACTACCAAATATCACAAATGAGAGGAAATAAAAAGGAATGCAAGACAGGCACAGAGAGAGAAGTCTAACTGCCCCATCCCCAAAATATCCACATTTGGCTACTTTTGCTTTGGAAAGCGGAAAGGATCCTTACTGATGAAGCTAAGAACTTTCCACTGCGGCTTAAAATCAGGTATTTTGAATATTAGTGATTGACACTAAGTTCCAAAGGTATATAAAGGGTGTTAACCTTAGCAACCTGGGCTGCAATTCAGTCGTCTCTACTTTGTATTGCAACCAGTAATCCTCATTCACGTTTGCCAATGTTCAACTATCCATGATGATGAATGTAGGAATATATAGGGACCAAAGACTGTTTGGGTCAATACCAATAATTTTAAATAGAAGTTGTTTAAGGAAAATGCAATTTGTTCTGATATTCAACTTTGCTTTAATGAGAGAATTTTGCTCAGTAGTACCTGAAATTGCAAAGGGATGAGGCAGAAGTGAGGGTAAGGTGGATCTAACAAAACCCCATGCAACACATTACTTCCATCTGAGCTGACAGTAAGTACTGGGTTATTACAGAGGTCACACGCTTTGCTCTCCTGGTCTATAAGGAGAGAGAGGGGTGGCCTCATTAGGTCCATAAGAAACTTTACCTTTAAATACTGCATGCAGCATGCATAAGGAAAACAGAAATAAAGAAATAAAACCTGCTTGACACAATCAGCCAGGGTGACCCAAGCTGATTAATGGCTTAGCAGGACCTGAGAGAAGAGACTGAGAACTTGAACAGATCTGTGAATGGAGGGAAAACACAGATGATCATAGCTAGAAGATGGATCAAGTCAGAGTTTAATCCTACATGGCAAATGTAAAGGAGAAATCTGGAATTTTTGGCACTAACCAGAAACAAATTAGTCCCAAACAACAGTAACAAACAGAAACCATCTACTGCACCCAAGAGCATTTCAAACTACCTTTTACCTGGGGTATGGGAACTGCTGAATCACAGCCTGAACCTCTGATTGATCACCTGAGGCAAGCAATGAGTCAGCCCTGGGAGCACAGGTGAAGGCAATTCAACAATTCACCTGTGCTGCTGGAAGGAGTGGAGCCTGGCTGTGCCTCTCCTAGATCCCATTTAAGGGCTACCAAGTAAAAAAAGATCTCTTCTAGAGATCCCTCCTCTGAGTTCTGCAGTGAGCTCAGGATGAGGGTAAGCTTTCTATCTATTCTCTTTTTGTTACTGTAATCTGCTTTGCCAAACTCTCGTTTATTTCATAATTATAACATCTTTATATTCATGGACTGTACACCTGGCTAATAAATTAACTGTGGTCATCGGCCTTAGTAATCACTTTTCCAAATTAGCTCTATGCATAAAATCCAGCAGCTGGATATACAGCACTTAATAACTGTGTTACTTAATACCACTTTTCAAGCTTAAAATGCTGCTGTGCTCTAACATGGGGAAGTTCTTTGTGTGCATCTACATAAATAAGGCACCTTAAATACATTGACAGAAAATCCCTAGGCCTGTGCTTCTTATTCAAAAGTAGAAGCAGTAGAGACAGAAAAAAATGAACAGGTAACAAAAATGACCATGAAACTCTTTGAAGAAACTACACAGACCTGAAACAATAAAAACCTCAGATTTAGATTTGTCAGAAAATGTAATGGTAGAAAAGCTCAGGGGGTTCAGAATTCTTGTAACTTTGAATCAGCCACTCTATTGATTGGCCAGCCTCTTGAACAAGTGCATTCTAATAGTCTGATATCTCATTCACAACCATCTGATGTGCTAGGTTGCAAGTCTGCTTTTAGCATGTACAGCAGAAGAGCTGTGCAACACTACATCTGCTACATTTTACTGAGGCTGACTCCATTCCCCAAAGTGCTCATTACCTGTTTCAGATGCTTTTTCAGCTCTGAAGCTTCTGGTTCTGGAAGCGCCGGCAAAGATTCTGCGTTTGTGGGAACGATCACCTGGAATTAAGCACAGGTAACAAATGAAAAACTGTCCAGCTGGATCCATTTCAAAACAGAATCTCCTACATCTCCACTGCTCCTGAAACTGAGGAATAAAAGGAATAAAATAAAACTTAAACCAAAAAAAAAACAACCCTGCATCAATAATTTGTTTCTCCTTCTCTTATGACTGTTAACATTATTTACAATGTCATAAACATTGCAAGATTATTGTTTAAACTTAAGACTTATTCGACTTTCCCTATACTCATCCTGTACAATCTCCATTAAACATAAGATGTTATACACATTTCCCATGCTCCAGTAGCCACAGTAGAAAGTGGGATACTTTGTCTCATTTGAATCATGACAAAAGATGCTGCTGGAAGGCTCTTATCAGATCTAGATTCCTATCTAGGGCTATAGCGGGCAGGGTCATAGTTACCCAAGGAGATGGCCCAATCACTTATAGAGGCTATACCTTCTATGAAATACCTAGATGGATTAACTGAAAAAGAATGCTGTAAGAACAAAAGAATCAGGGAGAGACATGAGACATGACAAGCAACAAAATCATAAAATTTAGGACAGAAGAGACAAAGGCAGACTGAGGCTAATCTAGAAGCACAAGCATTCTTAAATTCTCGGTGTGTGTATTAGTTGAAGAGCACAGTTATCCAGAAACAAAGCCTCAAGTCCTTAAGAGCATTGCTTACCTTATTGGTATCCAGGTCGATAAGCCATACATCATCAGGCATTTTGAAATCTAGTTTGTAAAGGAAGAAACTCGCTGGAACACCAATGATGTAAGGTGTAGGGGCTAGAAGCAACTGAAAGATAGAGATATAGTAATAAGGACAAGTTCTGCATTTGATATCACCATATCTTGCCAACTTTTTTTTTTTTTTTAAACAGCTGTAGCATGTTTACAGCAGAGGAGGCAACACACAAAGCACTGATAACGAAGTCATTGATGTCATACGATAGGAAAAAAAAACCCTCCTGCTCTAAGAGCTTTAATTCTCATCTAGAAGAAAAATTCACAATTTTTTCAGAGATACACCTTTTATAGAGCTAAACAGCTCTAATGAAAAAAATTAGCAAAACTAACAGCTTACAACACCATGAACCAAATGCATTTGTACATCTTCAGCTCAAACTGAATCCATGCTGTTGTAAATATAGCATTACCCTTACAAAAGCTTTATCCTTACCCCTACCTTATAGTGGTTATATAATTTCAAAATTACAAGTCTAGGAAGCAGAAAAACAGAAGAAACGTATTTTTTTCTTAATATAAATGTATGTGGAAAACCTAAGGGGAATTTCTTGTTGTTTCTGACAAGGGGATCAGCAGAGGGAAAAGGCTTAAATCAATAAGACACGTAACAGCTTGAGATCAGCTGCTTGGGAAGCTAATTTATCCTTTAATCTAGAAAACCTGGTTATCTCCAAGGGACAAGAACAAATCTGCAGCACCAATTGCAAGATAGTCAATTGCAGGATAGCACTGAAGGAATAAGATGGCCTCAATTCTGCCTTTCCAAACAAAATAATGAACTCCTGACTACTGGTGAAATCCAGGCTCCCAGCTGAAGTAATGTGACACTTTATACTTCCAAGAAAAATAAACTGCAGGCGGAAGTTTCTATGCCTTGAATCATGACCTCTTAAGATTCCTTAAGTACTACTATGGACTCTCTCCAACAAACCTTAATATTCAGTTGGGACAACAAGGCTGAAAGTGTTAAAGTCTCGTCATGATATTGTAGATCCATGGTGTTTCAAAGAAGCTACTTCTTTGAACTGTACTATTCACCAAGCAGGTTTTAATGATATCCTAAATGAAAAATGTTACATACAATTAAAATAGTCAGTGGTACTCAAAGAACATTCTTTGCAAGGCAGTGTTTATTACAGTCCCTCAGAAATGATGGTGGATGGAAACATGGACTACTATGTTTTCAGAGATAACAGAAATATCCTTTGCAAAAGACCAATGAAGGAAAAATATGCACCTGCTCTGCAGAGGCCATGCAGGTGGGGAGCAGAGGGATCACCGGAAACATATATTCTAATGGGTAGATCATAGCCACAAAGGCCATCACAGACATTGAGAGTGCATTATAGTCCCGGGACTGCAGTACAACCTGCAAACACAGAAAGTCACATTAGATTTTGCAGCAACCATTTGCTTCCCATACTCCCAGCCAGGGGCATAAAAATATCACGGCCTAAAGGACCCTGTTTTGTTGGCTGTGAACTGGAATGACCCTCCGTTAATCTATCTGAAAACAAACTTCAGGTGCTTTTTAAAGCAAAATCAAGACTTTTCAAAACAGGCACCTCAGAAAGATATTTTCCTTCCACCCCTCCAGGCAAATCAATATCAAAGATTCCAGTAGATAGATGTTCTCCAATCTATCCTGGCTTTTGAAAGGGTAAAGCTTCAAAGATAACTCTTCCCTTCCTACCTTGTGCTCCAGAAGGATGCAGGTCAGCACCTGAAGACAGGCATCCACTCCCAGCAACTCCAAAGGCAGATGTAGTGGAAAATCCACCAAGGTGAAGCGGGATGGATCAGGAAGAGCAAAGGTCAAAGCTGGCTGCAACTCATGCGGCAAAACTTCCACGTCCACCCGCTTCTGACCAGCAACAGGCATTGGTGAACGCAGCAGCCGGTATATCCACGCCTCAATCTCCCGCAAGTCATGTAGCAGTGCACTGGACTTCTCCTCCACCAGGAGTGAGCCTGTGAAAATCCGCCACATTGTATCCCTACAGAGGGAGAAATGAGAAGATTAATACTCCAATGGCTTCCTCTGACAGCCATTTGGCTTGGCTCTTCAAGGGAAAGGGCAGTCACCAAGAATTAAAAGACACTGCTAACATGCTAGGCCAGACAAGGGAAGAGAAGGGCAGGGGTTTAAACTAGCTGCAACAGCTGTGGGGAACTATGGAACTTTCTGAGGCAGAAATCAACACGAGTTTGCCACACTGGCCCAAGAGTTTGTGCATTCATTTAAATGGTTCATAAAGGTTACCCAGGTGCTTGAAATTCAGCGTGTAACTGGAGTACTCCCATATCTTGCCTAGAAGCACAGCAGCCTGAATGACTGGATTCCTTCCACCAGTTCTACAAACTTTTGCAAGAACAGGAACTAATAAGCTGAGATAATAAAAATAAGCCACATAAAGATGCCTCAGATGTTTTGGCATCATAAAACACTTTTACACTGAGTCTCAAATTGCCTTGTATTGAGATGAATAACCCATGGCAGAAACGGCTGCATTTCAGCTGAGAATAAACAGTTCTGAAAGTTGGCTGGGAACCATTTAACTACCAAAAGCCCTAAACTATCAACCTGCAAACAAGTAGCTCACAGACAGGCTGGCCAAAAAGTGTGTACAGTGTTGCTCAGGGCCTTAAGAGCTTCAAAATTTGAAACTGGATCTCCCAAGGGAAGTGAATTGGATAATCTATTTCAGCCCTTAATGTTGCAGTACTGCATTCACAATGGCCATGAATCTGTTCTAGCCACTGTGAAATAGCTTAATAATTATCTCCAGTCACTATAATAGATCCGTTAGAAGAGTATGGCTCAAATTAGAGGTTCCACCTTACAGTTTATACCTTCAAAAATTTTAAAAAAAGAAAAAAAAACCCACAAAAACAGCACTGGATGCCTTATAAAGGATTAAAAAATTACAGAAATTTGGAATGATCAAAAGAAGAGCAATCTGAAACCACCACGCTTCTCATCCACCAGCTTCCCCTCAGCCACTTGTAATGCAAAGGGCACGAATCTGTTAATGGCACGCTCAAACCTTCTGTGCAAGCCCTAAGGATTCAGTTTCACTTTTATTCTGACATCACTTTGAAACCTCTCTACTTCTCCAGATCACAGCTCGCAAATCACACAGTAATTCCAACTGGCAGCTTTGCTCTTCCTGCTGATGGATGCTTAGCAGTCTTCATCTGTCACTCAGTTCTTCTTCTCTCAACTCTATGAACTTTGTCCAACAACGTCAAGTCTTTAAAATACCACATGCCATTCAAACACTAGAATATGTCAACACTGCTTTCAAAATTCAGATGAGTTCATAGAGCTGAAGAAAATCATAAAGTTTAGCTCTTCTCTGCCTCAGGAATTATCGGAGTAAACCAAATAATGAAATAAGCTCCCTTCATACTTCAATTTCATAAAATTATTTCCATTCTCAGAGAATCACTTTTTCCCCAACAACCAGTGGATTCAGGTCATAAATCTGTCAAAGCAGGAATCAGTCAGAAACCCAGGACACTCCTAGAACTATTCTAGAGCAGCAACCCATCAAGTAGATTACTACGCTGTGAACAGGAGCAGACTTCCTCTTTAATACAAGGGGAAAGGATCTTATAAATACAGAAGTGTCAGATGCCCTGGCATATTTTACTTTTGACAAGTTTAAGTTGGAAGGTAAAAAGCTATAAAACTCAGATTACAAACTATCTCACAGCCCCCATTCACCTTCACAGTAAGATAATTCCCTCCTTCCCCACAGATTCATTTTATATTTGCTCTGTTTAATTCATGAGTCAGAAAGGAAACAGTATCTTCCTGGAACATAGAGGCTACACACAATAATACAAATATACATCCACAATTGATGCCTTCTGTACCCTATAGCACAACAGCTTTTGTTGCATACCTAGCATTATAATAACAGATAATACACCAAGATACTGTTTAACTTGCTGTTGCAAACCTCCATTCCTATATGCTTCACAGACAACTCCTTGGTTTTCTGCCTCTTCTCTCTCTTCTCCTCAAATCTTGTACTTCAATTTCTTTCAAACATTCCTGTTTCCCTTATCTCTTCTCTCCCACGCTGAAGTTCAGATTATTTTTCATAAACCTATAAAACACACTTTCAACATTTCCCTCTGGCTTTAAGTTGAAATTCACCCTGTTATTTCTTACTGTTTCTAATCTGTCAGAGAACTGCTAGTCCAGATGTGTACTACCTACAGAGCTTATACTCCAAAGCAATAACCACAGCAATAGCACTCAGCTTCCAAGAAACTGTGTCAGTTGCTATCAGCATAGTGCCTTCACATTAATATCAAAAACTAAAATCAGGTGACAGAAGAAAATAAAGAATTCTTACACAAATCAGCACAAAAATTTCCCTTTCCTATTGTGATTTCAGATTAAAATAGCAAAAAGGTCAACCACCAACAGAAGGCCAACTGCAGAAGACCAATGTCTTCTGCAACCTCACCTATCACAGCAATTTGGCATGACAATTTGACATTTGGAAACAAACAGAGAGAGGATAGAGTTCTTTCTTCCCCCTCAACATACCTCTGAACCCCACGAGGAATCCCCAGCTTCTTGCCCAACAGTCTCTCACTACAGCAGTCCACAAGTCTCTTGAGGGTGTACAGGCACTCGCGGAAGGTGGAGAAGAAAGGATAGTGACTAAGGATGCACAGAGAAGTCAGGGTGCTGTTTCGAGAACGATGGCTGCCTTTGGCCAGACGCTTACTGTGCGGAGACCGGTTCACATCTGGGGTAGGCTCTGTACTTGGGGCCTGCAGTGAAGAACCACTCTCTGAACTCTCAGTGCCCACATCCTCTTGGGGTGCAGACGCATCCCCAGACTTAGCGATTTTCTGTCCCTCCCGAGGAGCTCGATGTCCTCCTGTGCCTTCTCCCTTCTCCTTGGGTACTCGCTTCTGGAAGGAACGGTAGAAGTTGACACAGATTCCATAGCGAATGACACCCGTATCCTTGTCTGTGAGTGTGAAGACAAAAGAAGTGTCATCACGGAAGCTCATGCGTTTCTGCCGCACACTCAGGCATCCTTCGGGTTGGCAGAAGAACACAACGTCAGGTGGAAGAGGAAAGTCCACGTGGTCTTCTAGAGGATAACGTCGTAGCAGCTCAGGAGTCTGAGCAACACTATCACTGCTTGGCTGCCTGCAAAAAAACAAAAAGGAAAAACGACAAGCATACAGAGTTAGTTAACGTCACAAAAAATGTTTGTTATCTCACTATAGACACATCAGGGGCCTCCAAGGTCAGCTTCATCTTTGGTTGTTCTCAATCCTAACATCCAGAGAAAATGCAGCACCTCAGTCACTAGCTACAGTTCTCGATCTAGGATAAGCCCAACAATCACAAAAAGTTTAAATAAAAAGAAGTCTACACCATCATTATCGAGGCCCAACAAGGAGCCACTCTGCTTGAGACAAAAAGGGAGTTTCAGGAGTACATTGTTCCCAAGGGAATATTGTACTGTCACATTTCCCTGACTTTGATTTCCCAAACAAGTTTAACTGCATGGGAGAGGGAATACTTGGGTAGAAACTCTCCATCTCCAAACACAGTCAGATGAAAATCCAATGGATGATCAAGAAAGAAAACTATATATATATATACAAGAAAATCTAATTGAGAAAACCAAGGTTTTCCTAGGAGAGGAATCAAATAAATGATGGAGTGATACATTATGTTATTACAGGTAACACTCTAGATCCTACCACTGCCCTGCAGAATATTGTTTCAGTGCTCTTATAAGCAGCACTACAGTACCAGTAACATGTAACTGTGTCCCCTTGTTCCACCTACCCCACATCCCTGGAATTCATGCTGACATATAAGGAGGACATAATGAAGACATCTGGACTGTTTCCTGAGAGGTTTCTAAGAATAATTTATCACAATATCCTGCCAAGGCAAACAAAGGAGGTCCCCCAAGGTAGGAGCAAAACTCCATGTCAGTCATGGAAGCAACACTACAATTTTACCAGGTTTCACAAAAGAAAGCTGGTGTAACACAAGTGTAGCAGAGCCAACACAATACTTTTTAAATACTTTCCTCCCCATAGAACATGCAATAAGCTTTAATAATTCCAGTAGAAACACACTGTAATCACAAGCTAAAAAGTACAGGAAAAAAGAAGAATGGTAATGCTTTTCCAGTGAGAATGGAGGAAGAGAATGAAAGCAAACAGAAAGAAAAACAGCAAAAATACAGCTGCCTGTAGTCAGACAAAGAGTCAATTGACCAAGTGATTCTAGCATACAAAAAAGGCTTTCATTTATTAGTTGAAGCACAATAAAACTTTTTATTATTATTTTAGTAATTCTAAGTTACACTGACTTCCAATAAATAAGCAACACAGTTCCTAACAAGTTCCATGGACCCAAAACCTCATCTTGTAAAATTTTCATTAAAAAGTTCTGGCAAGCAAGCAAGCTGACTGTGCTTGATTATTAAGTTGTACTACTTAAGTACTACTGTGCCTCATTGAGCACTGTACAACAAATCACTACTGGAATACAAAAGAAGACAGACAACACTGTTTACTTTTGCTTCTTCCAGCAAATGAACATATTCTTTCAAGGCATTAACTATCCTCCTACCACAGTTTTTCTGCGAATGTTGTGCAAATAATAACTGCTGGAAGCATAACATGAGATCCAGAAAGTGAAGGACCGAAAATGTTTCCCAATCAATCCCTTTCTGGCCTGACCCCTTTGCTATCAAGTTCTGACATTTTTACAGTAATATAGGATTTAGTAGGAATGATACTAAATGGTTAAAAAAAGTCACCAATAAAGTACCAGTATATATGTATAATATACATGTAAGCTATCACTGTCTTTGCAGTAATATGCACTAAAGACAGAAAGACAAGTCTTCTCAGACATTCAGAAGAATTACACCTAATAAAACAGAATACTTTCAAAAGACATTGCTACTGATGTGCCGTGGGTAACAAGCTGTAATAGTAAAAGCCACACGGACTACCTAAGGAAGGCTACCTCCTGTCCTTAGCAGCTGTTGAAGTACCTGATACATGAGACAGCAGGTCTCCAAGTAGTAGCAATCTAGCGTCTACTGCCTAGCAAAAGGCAAGAGTAGTGTGGGAATCCAGAACTGATGCTAGTCAATCCTTAATTGAGAAAAGATGAAACTATGAGCATCACTGGAAGAGGCAGTCAACATTTTTTCCTTCTTTTCCTAATCACTTTCTGACCTACATACTGAAAACTGGGTTATTTTTCCCCACAGACAATGAGAAAATAATTAAACTACCAAATTACTCTGCCAGTAAAATACAATAATAAAACAGTTACTACTTAGGAAATTACTTGCATCATTTCCTCCACTTAGTCTCAATATTGCACTCAAAGCATTTCAAAAAGAAATTAGGTAAAGCAACAAGCTGATGCACAAAAACCACTTATGTTCAGAAATGAAAGTACAGTACACTTTGTAGCACATCCATTAAATAAACTGGCAGAAATATACCACACAAATCTTGAAAGGAGAAAAATAACATTTGCTGTGCACCTGCACATTAGACAAAAAGCACACCAACCCCATATTCTATACACTCCTTAAGCAGATAAGTGTAACATTTTATTAATTGATAACTAATAAGACTTAAAAAAAAAAAATTAAAAGCATTAATGTAGTTTCTATGAGGCTAAAAGTATTAGGAGAATCAGACAAGTAAGGCAAGTTTCAGACTTTTTTAAACTGAGTTTACAGATTACTCTTCAAAGTTAGAGAAGTAACCCCCACTAGCATTCTGCTTACACACAGCTTTCAGTATTTTCAGTTTGTGAATCACCCTATTCTGATGTCAACAGAAGCAAAGACGATTAGACATACAAGCCAGCAGAGCCATATATAAACGGGCTATTCTTAGTCACTCTTTGTAGATCCTTGAAGAGGAGGATCCAAACCACAAGCTAAAAAGCTCTAACTGCAGTAGTATCTTTCAAAAAATGCCCTAGTCCTACTGCATGCCCCCAGTCTGCATATATTCCAGACAACACTTTCTACGCACAAAGTGTGGCCTCTTAAGTTCCCACTCTACTGCCTACACAAAAGCACAGCTGAGAATCTTCTACATTACCTGGCTCCAATGATAACAAGGTAGTCGAGTAACCGAGGGCAGCTTTTCTTTTTCTGCACCATTGTCCTTGACCCCTTTCTATGTCATCTCAGTGAATTGCTGTTCATCAGCCCAGCAGCCCGTTGTCCAGTCAGCTGTGAGCAACTGCCCCAGGGAGCAATTCACTTGGAAATGTCCAGCAAGTTCAACCTATAACCAAGAAAAGCAAAGAGTGTCAGAGGCACAATCAAGAACACCAAATACATAGACACATGTATGATTTACATTTCCTAAAAGTCTGTGTTTTAGGCAGTCATGGCCATCCACAGACCTCTTTCTTTTCATCAGTATAAATACACAATCTGGCATTAAACGTCCACCTTCCCTTTTCTGGATTTCTTCTTCAGAGATTTAGTATCTAGAAGGGTGATGGCAACAACCAAAGAGTGTTAGACCAGTATTTGCAGGATCTCACCTTCCTGCTCCTCACTGCAGCCACACACCACAGCTGAATCACTGAAGGCAACACAAACAGGCACTACAGCCCTGCCTTTCCCTGCACCTGCAGTTCCTCCTCAGATCTGCTACCATCCATCCTCTGGATTTTACAAACTAAGCATATTAGAACAGAAAGCGGTCAAAGATTGATGAAGATCTTGTGGTTGTTTATCCTATTTCTCCCCTTTCACGTTACCATCTGAACCGGAACTGAGAATATCTTGACACTGAGATGGTATAGGCTTTGACATGATGGCCTATTCTCAAGCTGCTTTAACTCCAGGTTATTTCTTTCTGAGCAAACCCCTGCAGTGTGCTTTCCTCTGTACAAATATACTGGATCCAGCCTTTGGAAGGCCAAATTGTTGAGCGCTGTTTGAAACTCCCTGCAGCTGCAGCTCAAGGGAGAAACAGAAATGAAGGCTACCATGGAAAGCTACTGCAGAAACCCATCATGTTGCAGAGATCACACTGTTTACCCAAGCACTTATAAGGACAGTTTAGTGACGATGAGCACTACCCACATACTGCAGCAGCATCAGCAACACTCAGGAATTGGTGCAAGCTGACAAAGGTGGCCAGACACAAAGACAGAGGCCAGAGCAGGCACTAATCTGTGGCCTTCCAGTAACTGGGGACAAAAAGTGCTCAAAACAACACTTCTATTTATTGGCACTACGCTAATTTTCAAAATTTCCAGAACACCACATTTTAGATTGTGACAGAACTTCTCAAAGGAGAAGACGTGTGGTGTTCTGCAAGCTCCTCCCAGAAAGATATGTTTATATAAAGACACATAGCAGGAAATGCATCACACCACAGGATGGACAGAATAGCATGAAAAACTCTTTATCAGAGCAGAGACATCTGTGTCAGACCAATACCCAGCACTAGTCCTCACAAACGTTGTGTCCTTGTCTCATCTACACCTCAGCGGCTACAGCGCTTATAAGTGTCTTCTATTTGCAGACACAGAGCCACAGGAACAACGTCAAGGAACAGAGGAATTTGTCAATGAATAATTTGAACTGCAGATTTGACAGCCCAGTCTTACACTCACCTATATGAAAGTTTTCATGAATTTAAATACATTTGCTCTAAAGAATGATATGAAGCTAGCAGGAGACCATTTTGCAACAGGCAGATGCAAAGCCCTGCCTTCTGAGTACCCCAGTTCAGAATGGTATCCACCTCACAATTCAGCAGTATATCTTAGAATCTTAGAATATAAATCAACATCAGACAATACAATTTACTGACTGCATAAGTAAAGAGCACAGAGTGGGATATTAATTTCTAAGACCAAAAAAGAGGACGTTTGCGAAGGACAAAGTGAAAATTGCAGGACAGAAGCCATAGGAATTTTGGTTCACTGAAATGTTATCTTGCAAAAGACCAGATTTCAAACCATACCCAGAAGGAACAAAATTCTCAGTTCTAAAACGTCACTGGAACATCTCGGATTTCTATTTATACCCAGCCAAGACAATCTGTACCCAGTTCAGATCTATAGTGAACCCTAGCATGTTGTTTACTGTGAAATCAAGATACTTCATACCAATCAAACTAAACTGGAAACTGAAGCAGACATAAACACGGCCAGGAGTTTCAACACCCACTGTTTGGCTGACAGGTTTCCTTTTGCTACATTACGCACCCTGAGCATGCCAAGAGAGCTGTCTGCTTGGTTCTCAGAAACAGGAACATGGAGCTCAGGACCAGCCAACCTCACCTGTGTGGCCAAAAACCCCATTTCACTCATTGTAGAAATTAAATCAACGCAATCTGAAGAACAGTATGAACTATTCATGACAGTTTTGATCCATTTTTAGACATTTTAATAATCTTAGAGGGAACTTTATCGCTGAAGCTTTGACTTCTTCCCAGTCTGTGTACTTCCAGCCATTACTTCTGTTCTAGCACATACTCTTTTTGCTTGCACTAAGCTTTTAAAGCAACAGACACGCAGCCTCTATCTCACATGAGCCATTTTACACCTTCATTGCTTAACAGCTATGTTAAACATTGCTAGCAGTTTCATCCATAAAAATATAGCGTCCCTAAGAAACCCATAATGCTGTTTGCCCTTTATCCAGACACTACAGAGGTCCTACAAGCACAACGAACACAGGCAGAGGACAAGTGGGTCCTGAGGAGATGCATCCCAGAGTTCCAAGGGAATTGGCTGATGCAGTCACCAAATCACATTCGACGGTTTTTGAAAAGTCATCGTGGTCAGGTGAAGTCCCTGCTGACAGGGAAAAAAGCAATATAGTACTCACTTAAGAAGGGTAGAAGCTTCATCTTGGTAATGGGGAAGATCAGGGAGAAGATCCTCCTAGAAGCTATGCTAAGACATATGGAAGAAAGGGAGGTGATATGGGATAACCAGCATGACTTCACCAAGGGCAGGTCCTGCCTGACCAACCCTGTCACTTTTTATGATGGTGTAATTGCATCAGTGGACAAGGGAAGAGCCAGCAATGTCATCGATCTGGACATCACTAAGGCTTTTGACACGGGCCTTCATTACATCCTTCTCTCCAAATTGGAAAGATATAAATTTGATGGGTGGGTTGTTCAGTGGATCAGGAATCGGTTGTGAGACTGTACACAGAGAGTGGTGGTCAACGGCTCGGTGTCTGGATGGAGATCGGTGACAAGTGGTGTCCCTCAGGGATCAGTACTGGAACCAGTACTCTTCAGCATCTTCACCCATGACATCAACAGTGGGATCAAGTGCACCCTCAGCAAGATTGTTGATGACATCTATCTGTGTGGTGCAGCTGACACACCCAAGGGATGGGATTCCATTCAGAGAGATCTGGACAGGCTGGAGCAGTGGGCCCAGATGAACCTCATGGGGTTCAATAAACCCAAGTGCAAGGTGCTGCAACCTGGGTCATGGCAACCCCCAGTATCAATATAATCTGGGAGACAAGAGAATACATCACAGCCCCACTGAAAAGATCGTGGGGGTATTGGTGGATGGCAAGTTGGACATGAGCCTGCAATGTGCCCCTGCAGCTTTCTCTATATCCTTGACTGCATCAAAAGAAGTGTTGGCCAGCAGGATGAGGGAGATGATCCTACCCCTCTGCTCTGCTCTGGTGAGACCTCACCTGGAGTATTGTGTCCTGATGTGGAGTCCTCAGTGACGTGGACCTTGTCAAAGCATGTCCAGAGGAAGGACACAAAAATGATCCAAGGGACGGAACACCTCTCCTTCAAGGACAGGCTGAGTGAGCTGGGGCTGTTCAGCCTGGAGTTCTGGGAAGACCAGAAAGCGGCCTTTCTGTATCTGAAGGGGGGCTGTAAGAAAGAAGGGGACAAACTTTTTAACAGAGTCTGCTGTGACAGAATCTCAGAATTAGGGGGGCTAGAAGGGCCTCCAGAGAACATCAAGTCCAACTCCCCAACCTTCCAAAGCAGGCTCCCTTGATGAGGTTGCATAGGTGGGTGTCCAGGTGGGTCTTGAATTTCTCCAGAGAAGGAGATTCCACAGCCTCTCTGGACAGCCTATTCCAGTGCTCTGTCACCCTGACTGTGAAGCAGTTCTTATGCACATTAGTGTGGAATTTCCTGTGCTTCAGTTTGTGGCCGTTTCCCCTTGCCCTATTGCCATGCATCGCTGAAAGGACAAGAGGAAATGGTTTCAAACTAAAAGAGGAGATTTAGATATTGGATTTAGGTCAAATATAAAGAAGAAATTTTTAACAATAAGGATGGTGAAGCAATGGAACAGGCTGCCCAGGGAGGTGGTGGATGCCCTGTCCCTGGAGACATTCAAGGTTAGTGCTCTGAGCAACCTAATCTAGCTGTAGGTGTCCGTGTTCATTACAGAAAAGTGGGTTGGACTAAACGACTTTTCAGGGCTCCTTCCAACTCCAAGATTCTCTGATTCTAGATGTTATGGGCTGAGAATACCTCCTCCTCCTGAACCCGATGGAAGAGATTGACAGAAGGTGGAACAATTTCTGAAGTCAGATCTGGATGGACTTGCTATACTAGTGCAGTTGCTTCATTTTTTGTTACCATTCACTTTGCCAAGATAGCAATGCGTGACTCTTAAACAGATAGCAGCACCTTGGTACAACTGAGAGAGAAAAAAAGGCATTTTCAAAGTATTGCAAACCAACCTAAAACAGGTGATGGGTATATTTATCCAGCATGAGTAGCCTACAATACAGGGGTGGCTCTGTGAAACGCCTTAGCAGCAGTCATACATCTCAGAAACAGCTCAGCAGAGGACTACAGGCACATTCTAAAAGCATCCTCAATGGGAGACAGCATCACTTGAGACAGTAAGAGTTTCTTATGGATAAAGCAGCAGATGCATCCCAACTGTTTGCACTTTCCACATATCCATAAAGGCTGAGGAAAAAGACATGCTAAACTGAATTGAAAAAACTTAGGGAATTAAGCGGGAAAACAGTTTGCAGATACAGAATGACGCCCTCAGAAACTCTTTGGAAGAATGTGAATATCATACAGATTTCTTCCTTTCCTACTGCAGTGATATTACCTCTTTGCCCTACTGAAAACATGCCTGACACAGTACAGATGCAGCTTTAGTCTGCACAGCGGTATTCCAAGCAAAATGGAGGCAGCTTGCACAGACAGACTTAACACAGCCAGAATTAGCTCACAAGCGGCAGCATCACACAGCAGAGTCAGGAGATTTTCTAAAGCACGGCAAGCCTGAAGCCAGC